CGTGACAACCTACTGGCGATATTGAGCTGCTAACTCCTGTGCTTGGCGCGGCGGCTTGGCTCCTGCACTGCGCTTGCAGGGCGACGCCGCCCTAAGTCTCTCGCGCCGGCTCCTTGGAGACGGGGACACCCAACAGCAGAGGTACTTCCTTCATCAATGGCATCCCAACGTCATGGCCACGTGTCAGGCTCTGAGCTCTTTGAACTCGTCGCCGAGTGACCGCCATGGAGGTGACTGCATCCGTGATGCCGGGTTACATAGCTTTTCAATCAGTCTGGCGTGGAAGACTTCAGGTGGGAACATTGGAGGGAATCTGCCATCGGAAACCAGTCGTCTGCTCGGCTTCGTGCTCTCGTTCGCACTGGCTCACGCGCTTTGACGGCGCATGAAGGACCTGACGATTTTTGCGCGACAGTAGTGCGAAAAATACCAGACATATACGCACACGAGATACGTACGTCTCCATTCTGTCACAGACCCCCTATTCCCGGAAGCAAAAGAAGCATGTTGCGGAACCCCGCTTGGCCGGCAACATCCGTATGAGCTCACAAGGATGTAGTACACTCCCAGATACTTCGCAAACGCCTTGCTGGCGGCGATGTACACCAGGGACAACGAGCGTATAACGCCAACGACCTGTGGAAGCTGTGAGGAGCCGAATGAGAGTCGCATTTGGACTGGTTGAACGCCAAATTGCCGGTGTGTGGGGGTCGACGAGCATTACGCGACATTGGCCAGCTGAAAATGGTGTGCCCATGCCATGTTTGCAAGATTCGGCTACGGCGGGTATCGATGGCGAATTCCTGAAGGTGTCCATGTAGTATTGTAGCACACAAAGCTGCGACACGCTCTGCAGGAGCTTGGCGCCCAAGCCACTGGGAGTTTCTGTTCGAATTATTGGTAATTGACCACTAAGCTGGCTCCGTCAATAGTTGATTCGTAATCATCGGATGATTGAAACGATGGCTTTTGAGAATTTCATTTCAGGGATGCCATCAACATTTTATAAATGAATGGCTGTCACCTTTGTTAGATGATTCACTTGCAATTTTCCAGGTTGTGTAACTGGAGGCTGGTGGCTGAACACCGATGTGCAGCGAAGCTCAATGAGAAAAATGAACACGGAATTGGAGGTCGGGTTGATGAGACGAAAGTCTGACGCACCAAGGCGGCGGCAGCTGCCATGTTGTGCAAGCAGCTGGCCATGTGCTTGCTGGCTGATGCACTCATCGACCTGATTGAGATGGCGGGAGGACGGTTGGCCAACAATTCAGCCTCGGTTTTACTCATTTTGGTGATCGTCACTTGCTTGTTCGTGGCTTCTCTTGGTTTGGCTGCCAGGCAAGTTGAGTCTCGGCTGCGTGTCCGACCACGCACGGCGAGCGCGTTTGGGCACCGCGGGCACCAAGGTTGCCACGGGGGTCGAGCCTAAAAGGTTTGACTTGCGCTGTGCTGCGCCCCATCGCTGCGGGCATTTCGAATGCGACGATTGCGACGAGTGGGATCTCCAACCGGGATTGCCAAGAACTTTTGTCTGCTCCCAGTTGTTCCAGTTGGAACCAGTCTTCGGGACTTGCCACACGGCTCTTTCGAGCCTATCCGGCGGACAGATGTCTTCAGACAACTCGAATGCCGGCCCAACGGCCTGTATGCCGTCAGTAGTGGCGAGTCTGTCAGCGATGGGCCCACCTTTGCAGGGGATGAGCTCAGACTGCACACATGTCATGATTTGCTGCAGTGGATGACCAGGGGACATCTTCGCGATCGTTGTAGATAGGACCGTTTCGGCATATGGGGCGCATCCGTAGTGCGTTCAGGCACACTGTGCTGCAAAATTGCGTGAACGGCGTCATGCAATCTGCGCTGCATTCGCAAATGTCACAAGTGGCCATAGTAAATTGGTTGCGGTGTTACGGCTAGAACTGATTGAGTGTTATTATTAAATGAAAGCATGAAAAGATGATGAGCACTAGGAATTGCATTAAGGACGTTGATGAACGGACTGAATATAAAGGACAGAAGGCCTATTGTCCTTTTGCCTCGGCTGTAAACCGTTGCCGTGGACTCGAGCGTACAATTCCCGTTCAGGGATCGCCACCCTCGACCCTGCCTGCCTTCCTCAGCGGTCACTGCTAAGATCCAAGTTTTAAGGGGGCGACTTGGTGGATTTTCTCCGTCGGCGGGCAGCCTCCCTGCTCGATGGGTGCCCAAAGATCTCCAACTACCTTATTTTGCTCCCTCCCGCCCATCCCTTGGAGATTGAGAACGGTTTGAGGTCTGCGTGGAGTTTTAAATACTGGCAATTTAGTGCTTTGGTTTGCGATGGGAAGCTAAGGGCAAGTTGGTTCGGGCGGTCATGGGCACTGTGAGTTGAAAATTTTACGAGAGCGCTGCAATTAGCTTGGCCAGTGTGTGCATCGGGTAGAAAGAATATCCACTCAAGCAGATATATGAGCTTAAATTTCGGTATCAAGGTGGTCGCAAGAGCGGAAACTAGCGTCAGAATCGTGAAGACCGAGCTAAAAATCCCTGGGGAAGCGACTCTGATAACTCCTTCATAACGGTGCTGTGCCGCTTCTGACCTCCGGCAGACTGAGATTTCCTAGTGTTTTCTCCGCTGTGCTCCACTTCGAGATGTCACCTCCGTTCCGTGCTACACCTATTTGTCCCAAGTTTGACCGGCACAAAATGGTGCATTTGTATTCAGTCTTAATTGGTCAAAATCACGTGGTCAAAGTTTCGGTGAGATTGTTGATGTTTCGACCTGTTTTCTAAGGCCATAGCTCATAAAAGCGTCGTTTAACCGGAGGCGGAGCATTACCAGTGCTTCAGTTGCAATGGGTAGTACCTGTGCTGCTCACTTTCGTGAAGGCGCCGTCACGCAAAGAAGTGGCCATTTCTTGTCGTCTCACCCTTCCATTATACTGATAAGTATTGGTAGGTGCTGTTGTGTGTGTTGCGCGCATCCCCTTCAGCCCGCCCGTATCTGCAGGCTCCAGACCCCAACAGGCGACGAGCAGCCTCCTCGCGCCAGCGCCAGAAGCGAGGCTTGCGCGGTGAGCCCAGCATCGCTTTCCCATTGCCATCTCTTCGTCAACGTTCCCCTCGTTTCAAAGCAAGGCCCGATTCCACTGGCACCCAGAAACTCATTGTCGAAGGCCATCCCCCTTGGGCTGTTGCGACCTCCTGTCGTGCGCCACAGCGCGCGAAGGGAGAAGTCAAAACAGCATCGGTGGATTGGATTGTGCAGAAGTCGCACACAGGCAGCAAAACTCCCTGCCCGCAGCACCCTTCTTTTTGCCAGTGTAGCCACCTGTACACGGAATGCCAGAGGTTGGCCAGTCCTTCCCCCACCGCCCAGACCTCCTGTCGTGCGCCACAGCGCGCGAAGGGAGAAGTCAAAACAGCATCGGTGGATTGGATTGTGCAGAAGTCGCACACAGGCAGCAAAACTCCCTGCCCGCAGCACCCTTCTTTTTGCCAGTGTAGCCACCTGTACACGGAATGCCAGAGGTTGGCCAGTCCTTCCCCCACCGCCCAGTACGTTCTCCTGAGCGCCTGGCTGCACTCTTGACGGTGTCCACATCTGATGTTTGTCATTGGCAGCCTGTCCTGAACCGGGGAGCACCCTTGCTTTCTGGAAAGTCGTCGCTCCAGACATCAGTGCCAGTGTCCGTACCAAGTCGAGATAAAGAACAGCCCACTACCACAGCCCATTGCGATCTCCTACGATTTGCCATCTTCCTGGGCCACCATTGAGTGCCGAATTTTTCTTCTTCGATGCTGACATGCAAATTATGCGAGCAATCTTTGAGGCTCAAAATAACCTTTCACTTCTTGTGAGGTGGCTCAAGGCCCCATTTCAGCCGTTGGGACGGGGCCGGCCCCGAGAGTTTGAAATGAGATGTTATATCTTGGAATATAAGAAATATACAATACCCCAATGCCAAGCATTCATTGGAGTCCATCTGATCCGCTGGTGAAGCTCGAACAACCAGCCTGCAGGGAATCAACAACAAATATAACTGGGTTCCATAAGGATTGCGCAAATCCAAGACCGGTGCATTCTGATCCTGTGCAGGGATGCAGCACTCAGTTGTCTAAAGCATAATTCGTTGAATGCACCCAAACATGAATCCCGTGTGCCCAACCCTTCTGCCTTGTAGATTCCCTTCATTTGCCTCACAAGCTGTGCTCAGAAATATCAGCTGTCTCATCAGCTCCAAGGCAGTCTGCGATGTGCTGACATCACTCTGTTGCACATTTTTAAGCCTGTGTATTGTAAGTAATCACACCCTTGCATTGGGGCATAAATGCAGAGGATTTGTGTTGTTTGGCTGAGTGTCGAAACAGTGTTCGCCACAGCTTTATGCATTTTCCCTTATTATGCACATCACAAGGTATGAATGCCAGTGGTGCAGTGTGGCAAGCACACTGTATGTAAGTGCCTCGTCTGAAACCTGGCAGCGGATGTTGTCTTCCTTGACAGGAACGATCAAGGAAGTGGAATTGCAAGTATTGGTGCATGGGCAACACCCAGACACATCCATACATGACAACAACACAGACCATGTGAATTTTGTGCACTTCGACTTTACTCAAGCATGTTGCAAACACCGCTGTAACAACAGACATGTAAAGGTGAAGGGAGCCTTTGTTCGTTGGGGGAAAGAGGCTTACACTGTGCAAGACAAAGCAGCTGAAACACATCCAAGTGAAAGACAGTATAAAAGGTGTCTGTGTTTGTACTCAGGAGAATTTAGCAGCAAAGAACAACGCACAGACAATATGTGGATGCTGTGTGCACACATTTGACCCACATTGTACACAGCAGATGGGCTCAATCAATACCATGGACTGCCAATGCCACCAGTAGAGTGAAATGCGGCTATGTTCTGGGATCTTGTGACAGTTCGGACTCACACTGCTGTGTTCCAGGGAGTTTTGCAAAACAAGAGTCCCAGCTGTGGCCAAGCATCTCTTCATTTGGACAGGGTCTAATGAGTGCCGCAATGAAAATGAGTATGCCCAGAGCTGATGCCTCAACCAGGATCAGCATCGGATCTGTGCACAGCGCGCACAGTCATCTTAGGTAATGGCATGATGGTAGCTGCTTCTGTTCTTGAAAAAGCATTCAAAGAGTGCTTTCAGAAATTTGTTCCTCAGATTTGCACTGCGACACACTGTCTGTTGGTGCCATGGATCATGGAAGAAACACACAATCCACAGGCACAGTCACATCATAGATTTGAGTAAAAATATAGGTTTTGGGCTCCTGCTTCTGGAAGAGTGCTGTTGGCCTACATCAATTTTTGTAGCTTGCTACATGTTTGCATTTGTGTGAAATATATATTGCTGCTCCTCAGTTGGCCTGTGCTGATCCTATCACAAAGGTGTTTGATTAGAAGGCCCAATCATCCAGGCAGATTCGACAAGATGCACATTTGGCTCAGCACATAGAGAAAACACACAAGATTCACAAGTGGTCGAATCGCTTGTCCTCTCTTGTTGATTCCACCTGTCAAGCACATGAGTTACAGAACACACTGCACATGCCTTCAATGTGCCGGTACATGCACTGCCGATGATTAAAAGAAGCGTTGCCTCTCCAACCTTTATCATTGGAAATGCAAGCCATATACATTGGCTATGATCTGACACTGTCAGTGGTGTTGGCAAGGCATTGCTAGTGTTAATTGGGTTTGCTCAATTGTTTGGCCCCTTCACACTGCTCATTGTGAAGAGTGCGCTCTGCAGGGTCTCCAGCAAGCATTCTGGGCGCCAAGCTGCCAGGTGTGCTGTGGTGGCTGAGGCAAGTTCTGAACTGGGAGCACTGTCAGGCATCGAGGTGGTGGGACTGCAGTCTGGCGCCCTGACAGATGTTACCTCACTTTGCAAGCAGACCTCTGGCTCACCCTGCATAATGGTCTTCTTCACTCATTGGGGTGACCTGGGGTCCTGGGAATACGCCCAGAGATTGGTCAAGGTTCTACCGAAGCTGGAAGACGCAGGTGGTGCAATTCTTGGCAACTGCATAAGTGGGTCTGACTGTTTGCACAGGACAACCAGACGGAGCCAGGGATTGGTCGATGACAGTACGTGACTGAAGCAGTCACCTTGAAGGGGAGCCATGGCCTTGTTTAATGGCCACAGCAGTGGCATCCCCTGTCATTTGCTCAAGCCATCTTCAGCAACTCACTCAGCGTAGTGCATGCTGTCATAATATCCCATTGCACTGCGGATTCTGTCACTAGGGACAACCCTGTCTGAGCAGTGCAGAAGGCGGCTCAATCCAAAACCATATGCACACTGCACAAATCGGTTGCACTTATCCACATCTCCTAGCTTAAGCACTCCCCAGTCCAGGGCATCAGGGACATTGGCGGCACGCGTGCTGTGCCCTGGACGACATCTTGCCTACCTTTGCCTGCTGCAATTTATGGTGTTGTTGGGCTATGCCTGGGGAACCTCTTCATGGGTTTGTACATCATGTGTGGGCACCTTGCATCAGCACCGAGTGCACATCGGCTCAGCACTGCTGCAAGGGTGCTTGAGGCATGCTACAGTTCTCCCACAGCGACCAACGCCTGTGTGCATGTCTAGTGGACAGGCATTGAGATCGTCGCCACTGGACTGGGCTCAGTGTCAGGGGGTCGCGAGTTTTCCAAGTGCACAGGCTTCCCTCTGGACAGGCTGTATGCAGACCCAGCAGGCGAATGCCACAGGGCACTGGGATTCAACCCAGGTTTTGCAAGAGATGCTGATATCAGCCCGTACATCAAGTTGCTGACGATGCTGGCTGGGGTGGGGTCGCCTGGAACGATTCAGGAGGTGGGTCTGGTGCAGATACGTTCCAACAATATATTGCATACCATTTGTGTATCTGTTGCATCTGTGCAGTCTGCTGGAATAAATGCGGCTGTTGGCCTGGCCATTGGCTCAGGCATGCGATGGATTTGGCCAATGCAAAGGTTTCACACACAGTGCCCTCATGTTGCACGAAAGGGCAGGATGTCAGAGATGCGTGGTGCATGCGCCCTTTCGTGTCGCAGCAGTCACTTCAAGCACTTAAGAAGATCTTATCGCGCCGGGTACCCAGCCACGAGGGATGGAGGGGACGCGCTGCCACATTGGCCATACAACTGCTTGCAAGCCGCTCTGCAGCATTGTGCCTCAGATGACTTTTCTTCGTTGCTAGTACTGCAGTCGCTGCAGTGAGTAGGCCACAGAAGCGCACTTGTTATGTTTCAGCATTGTGCATCGATAGGTGCATCATGGTAATCTGATGTGATGCGTGTGAGTAGGTTCTATTGGTGTGCAAATCCAGGTGCTTAGGGGTTACATCGGCGACCGTGAGAGTAAGCCCGTGTACGATCAGGCGTCTCCATTTGACCTCCTTGGAACTGGCTACCAGAGGCCTTTTGAGCTGGCAACATTGCGCCTCAAGAACATGGTGGACATCCTCCCGAAATGTGAGCCCCGTGCAGATGCTGGCCAACATCTAACGCTGTGGCATTGCTTGCCATCAACATAGTGCTGATCTGGTGCTCTTTGCAACGGGATTGCCCGTACAGTGCTTCAAGGATGAAGGCCTTGCCTTCCAGGCCTGGAACTTTCACGGTGAAAAAATTCGCACAATCTTGAAGATTGAAGATTGTTCGACCTTTTCCCTAAGAAATCTGCATGCCAAGGCGAGGACGTGACTGTAGGCTCCTTTCTTGACAGCACAAGAGTACAAGTAATACTTCTGGCATGCATAGCAGGAGATGGTACCCGACCCCTTGTGTGTTGGTGCTCATTGTAATAGCATCGCCCATTTTCTGGTTCTTCCCAGATGGAAGTCCATGACAAATTGACGGCGCCCGTCTGTGGCCGGCATTTTCTCTGTGCGTCGCTTGCGAGGGATGGCCAGTTCTGGCCCCATCGCATTTGAATACGAATCCAGTGCGAATTCATTTGCGAAATTTGTTTAAATTCTGCACACAGTCAGCTGCAACAGGCCCCTGCACAACCAGGCTGTCACTTGCCTTGCCATCTGTTGTGCGTGACGCAGACGTTTCGTTCCGCAGGGGAGAAGCTGTGTCCGCCGGACAACAACCTGCTTGTGCAGCAAGGCGGCACCCTGGTGTTCAAGGGCGACGAAGTCGTGTTCAAGCACGAAGATTCGGGAATACTGAAGACGGCCGATGTGGAAGAGCTTCTGGCCGCCGTGGCTCCCGCAGCGGCGGACCAGCAATGATGGACACTTGCGCCGTTCATGTTTTGGAGGGGAGAAGGCATGGCATCCTATTTGACGTCACCAAATTGTTCGTTTCACCGGAATGCTTCAAGTGTGCGTGCTCCCCTGCACTGTCAGGATCTCAAAGAAATTCACTTGTGGCAAGGGCCTGCAATGTATCGTGCTGAATCCCTACGTCGGCGCTATCGTGAGGATCGGCGCGATGCTCGGTGCGTCTCTTGAAAAGACCTTGCCCACTCGCCGGGTGGGTGTTATGGGGCAGTTCTGCCCATCCCACCAAATGTTCGGAGCTCAGTGAGCTGAGATCTGGAGTTGGGCACTGAAGTCTTTGTGCCTCTCCCTGGTTGATCTCTGGAGCACTACCACTCGTGAGCGGCGTGCGAGCCCGTCGTTGGGGCACACGAGCTTTGGGCATGCTGGCTCGGGATAAGAATGCGCACACACTCATTGGGTGGCAAGCACAGGCACGCCATACCTCAAGCCATCCGACCCCCTTCGGTCTGCCATGTGTCTGGTCGGCAAATACAAAACAGGACCTTCGACGGGCCGATCTGATATGCCTCAATCAATGCCGCGGTAATTTACGATAATAGGCGCTCGTTTGTCAGAACTGATAAGCTGTAGTTGCTTTCTAAAGATGGCAGTTCTTGGCAATAGTCTCGCAAATGTATCCGAGGTTACCTATGTTCACGGAAGCTGTTCTGAAAGACCCCATTACGGGAACCAACTCAGCCGATGCACTGTTAACTATCGCTTTCTGTCCACGGTGGCATAAATGGCCTTGGGGCTTCAAAGAGGGCAACAGCCCTTTGACAGTATCACTTTGCATCCGACAGATTCACTACGGTTTTTGGGGCTCATTTCCATTTCAGGACCTGATTTTCTAATTCGCTTCCCTGGTGGCCAGGGATCAACACGTAGGCTTCATGGTGGCGAGAGCGATGCACAAACGCCGAGGCCACAAAAGTATGAGAAGGTGCCCAGGGAAGTGCCCTGCCATGCGACGGCACCTGTACTCAGAGGCTCTGAGTCAGAGCGGAATCCATCAGAAACAAATTGCAAAAGCGCCATTCCCGACATCCCGCACAATCTCCTTAGATCATACACCTTGTCCACTTACCAAACCCCAGCGCCGCATCACTTGCAAAACCCCCTCCAACCCTCTTCATCTGAATCTCCTGCAAGGAACAAAACGCGGTGAGCACCTTCATGAAGCCTTCACTCCTGAGTCCTCAGCAATTCTGCATTGTCAGCCGCCCTGCTTGCGTGCAGGCATCAAATGTCAGGCCACCACATCGATCGTGTGCAAATACGTGGCGCGAAAATAGAGGTTGTCTGAGTCACTGAGGAGTTTCGGTCCAACTTGCATTCATTGCCGCCGGCTACCGCAGGCCCCTGTAATCGCGCCACTACCGTCCCTCAAAAACGTGGAAGTGGGAGCGAGTCCCTCTTGAAAACTTCAAAGAAATGTGTTCGTCTGTGGCAGACGGGGAAGCTCAAAGTGCCAGCCCGTGCCCTTGGCTGGCTTGCCCCTGCCAAACATCGACCCGTGCACGGCGTCCTCCGCACTACGGACTCGGGAGTGGTTCGGCGCCGGCCTGCCAGCGGTCTCCTGTTCATTCTCCATGCTGCTGGACCGCCCCAAGAACGCCTTGGGGGTTCTGGGCGTCTTGGGGGTCTTAGGGGTCCTTGGTGTTCTGGGGGTGGCCGGATTTGGAGCCAACTGAGGCACGACCATCGCTGGCGTGTGGTCTGAGTGGTCCCTCAGCATCGCCGACAGCAGCTGCTTCTGTGTTTGCTCCAAGAGAGGCGCCTCGCGATTCAGTGCCTCCATCGCCGCCAGCAGGTGCAGCCTCGTGCTGTGCTCCTTGACCTTTTCAAGTTGAAATTCCCACACTCATTGCATTGCAAAAGAAACATTATTGGGCCCAAACACCTCAGAAACGATGCATGGAAGTCAGGGAAGTTGCTGCACTCGCCGCACTGTCCACAATTTGACTAATCGAGCAAACCGGCCCAACACAGTCTGTGGGGGCACGACAAGGAAGCCACATTCGCATGTTGCTGGTGCCAAGCACCGGTAACTGCACAGGCTGCATCAATTCAACGAGTGTTTAGCTCCAAGGTACTGTAGCTATTTCCGTACACATGGCTGCTTGCAAATGATCGTCGTGTCTGCTGGACTCACTAGATGTCCCCGTGCAGGGTCATAACAAACTGTCTACGCTCGACCACGTCCAGCCCACCGGGTAAATCACCAGCATCGCCACCAGCAAAACAGGACACGTTGTCACAGCAAGCCTCAATGGTTGCAATGAAAGCAGTTGTAACTCAGGGCTCGTGAAATTTGCAGCGCAACGGGCTCTTGATCCGTGAGCTCTTCGAGGCAATGAAATTTTCGCTGTACACCATTGGGTCATATCCCAACAGGCTAATGTTACAAAAATAATCCGGACAGAAAGTACACAAGTACAAATATGAATGCAAAACAGATGAAATACGTACAATAAGACATAAGTATGAACATGAACAAAAATAACACAACAACACTATGCAACGCATTTCATGAATACCTGGCAGGTGTCCAAAGTCTGCAGGGCCTGAAACGCAGCTCCCGCCAGCTCCTTCAGCTGCAGATAGCTCTTGCCCGCCACTGACCTCTGCTGGATCCGGGCCAACAGGAACAGGATCTCCTTCAACAGGAACTCCACATGTACCATCGCCTGACTCGCCGCCATGGTCAGAGTCTGGAGCACGGCGATCTGCACGTCGTGGGCCCCCTCGCAGATCATGGCATCGAACTGCGAGTGCAGGCGCTGCACCACGGTCGGCTGGTCAGAGCAAATTATGGAGACCCGCTGCATGGCGCCCAGGCTGGTGACTTGCACTGCGAGGTCTGAGTGAGAGGAGAGGGAGGCAAGCACGGGCAGGAGAGTGTCGGTGACCTGCGACCACCCAAGGTTGTACAGATAAGCCTGCTTCTGTTCAAGAATGTTGCATCACATGTACGAGTCAAGGTGCATACTATGAGAGCCAGCAGGGGAAACATCGGAAACTTCCAAGGACAGATCCTGTTTGGTGCATCCCCTCCTGATCGATGATGAAGTGTGTTGGTTCTGGACACGGCACTGATACAATTTTCAGCGGATCATCCTTGCTTTGGGGTCCTCGAATGGACAGTGGCATGAGCATCTTTGCCATAAATAACACAAAAAGCTGGAAATCTGTTTCTGTCTTCAGCAAGAACCTCTGATGTCCTTTTTCCACAAAGCCAGCTGATGATGCAGATGTCTCCAGTCAGAGCAGGGGGAAAGATTCTCAAAACGCAGAAGCCGAGTTAGGGGATGTGGGTGTCGCATGTCTGGAGCATGAACTTGGGCGCAACTACCTATACTGCATAGATGATGTTGGAGCCTGTGAGTGGTGCAGGAGAAGCACAGCAAACCAGAATATGGGTGTAGCACATCCTGTCATTCGTTGTTTTTGGTGACAGCAGTCGTGCTATGTGCCTTTTCTGCATGGCACCAAGGGACTAGTGGCGTTCAGCAGTCTGCCACGAACACAGCGGTTGGAAAAGGCCCAACACCGAGTTGAGAACAGGAAGTCTTGCACCCAACGTGCTGCCAGGCAATTTGCACATGATGTGCAGCTGACTTCGAAATTCGAGTCTCATTACTAGCTGCAAATAAGGGAAGCAGAGAACCACATACAAAACAGGTCATTGGCCATTGGCATTGCCAAAACGCACGGCTCACAAGCTTTTCTGCTTCATTGTCTGAACAGGCAATCCCAGCCCCCAATTCTGGTTTCCTCATGGGTTTGCACTGACAGACACCAATGGCCAAGACAGCTGACTCAGATTGATGTGCGAACACAGCCAGCCAAGAAAATCGCCCCAGTGCATTGTGCAGATCAACAGGCTTCAATTCAGTCCTGTGAATGCAGGTTAGGAAGCACAGCACTGCAGATGTGCACCATCAAGTACGCACCTCTTGTGCAGACACTGTGCCTGCCAGTCCTTCCACCAGCGCTGCAACGCCCTTCTTGATCAGTGGGTTGGGCGACCTCGCGGAATCTTTCAAAGCCCCCAACAGATGGCACTTCACATCCTCAAAGGCACTCGCAAACTGAACAGCTGCCGTAAACTCCTGTAAGCAGAATTTGTCCAAGATACCATTCAAAGCCAGTCAGTAGTGATGGCACAGTCATCTCCAGATTTTCTTCTTGTGGTGCGCAAGATTGAGGAATCCACAGAAACATGTGCAAACTTGTGCACAGCTCCGCCACCTTTTGTGGCTGCCGCGTAAAATGCCTTGCAATACACAGGCTCAGGCTGCACTGTGTAAACATACTGGAGTTTCAAAACCCCTGACAGCCACCACTAGCGCGATGAAACTTACCATGGAAACACAGGGAAAGCATTTTGGCAGTTCAAAGAAGTTGTGAGATTCTTTCACAAAATTCTGCTTTGACAACACATTTATTCAAAAGACAGGACACCGCCCATCCATGCAGTCCACAGCTAGTATGCAGACTTGTCCAGCTTGTCTACAGTTCAATAGTGTTGGGAAGCCTTTGCGGCTAGATTCTCTTCCATGCTGCTAGAGGTTGTGCAAAAGTCTATGAGCACATCAATGTAGGCAACAGAGAACAAAACACTGAGCAGCAGCAATCAATGCATGCAGGCTGCAATGGCAATGCTCACGGCCATTCGATCAAAGCACATATTGAAGAGCTACGAAGGACCTCAGCGCTTGCTTCCCCACCTTTCTGTGCTGGAGGACCCATGTGTCATCCTCCGGCCCATCTGACAGCAGTTTGCGGATGTAAGATGACAGCCTGCCTTTGCCTGACTGCACGAGCACGGCTGCAAGGAAGACAGGCAGTAGTGCGATGTGGCCTACCCTTGTGCCCTCCAATGTTGTGGGTATCAATGTGGGCACGATGCCCTCCACCTTGTGGGCCACTGGGCACCGGGAAGCACAGGTGGGGATGCTGGCAGACGCAACGAACAGAGGCTCAACAGCAGACACTGTGAATGACTCTCCTGCACAACACTCCAGCCCAATCAGTCATTTCCTATGGTCTATTTGGGCATGGTGCTTGGGAGATCAGCAGCGATGCAGAAGCCAGGTTGCGCAAGAGAATTTCGCGCAGCAAAGGGCTCTGGTTCTGGCAATCTGCATGGCACAGAGTCATCTGCAACCAGTTACTATTGGCACTGACAATCATGCACTCAGGGGCTTTGCTTTGCACGACAGGATAGGCAAACACGCTGAAACTGCTTCGAAGATTATTCCCTTGTGGTCTGTGCTGAAAACGTTCGAGTTTTGTGAAACGCAACTATCAGGAACACCAGGTTGAGGCTGTGCACCACATGATCAACACGACAACTTGTTCATGTGTAAGCACACAAGGAAAGGAGACGCCACACAGCAAAGCTCACTGCAACTGAACACTACTGGAACGTTTCCACTCCGTCATCATCATCTGCTAGGTGCAGCACCATTGTTTGCCATAGCTATTCTGACACCTGCAATCCACTGAATTCAACACTCACCAAATGAGCCACATGTGAGTTTCATGGCTGCCACCAGACGCCGCCTCAACCGGTCGCACTCGTGCAGTGGCGCCACCCCGCGGCAACAACGGATGAGTAGTGGCACCACCTGACAGGCCATCATGTCGACCTCCTCCCAGCTGCCATCATTTGGACCCTCCACCCACTGCCCAAACTTTCTGCAGATCTCGTCCTCTGCCAACGATCCACCCAGCGCCAGCCCGCTGCTCACATCGCCTCCTTGGCCAGATACTCCCTCATCCCCTGACAAAGAGAATGGGGAGGACATCGATCGCATGGGAACGGGTGGTTGATGTGACTGCGCCTTTGGGCTCAGGAAAGGATTTGTTTCAGTGTGCCCCAAGGCAGTGTTGTGGCCATGACCCTGTTGATCAGTGAATGCAGGATTCGCACCCTCTCCATCTTGGGATTCCAGTTCTACAAAAGGGTTTGTCTCTGGTGCACTCGAAGATCTCCTTACACGGAATTGCTCATCCTTTGTGGCAAAAGGATTCGTTGTGGCATCGACAACTGGAGGATTGCCAGCCAAAAAAGGATTGCTGCCTGGCTTGCCAGAGTCCTGAATGCAGAAAAGAACCAGTTAAAGGTGCATTAAAACACATGCTGACACCTGCTTCAAGTTGCGAAATTCCACTCACAACCTGTGTCACAACAAGGTGAAGCACCGACCTTCAACCTTCACAGTGATGGCAGCCACAATGTTTTTGTGTGAATTACGTTCATTGCAGTTCTCAACAACACACAATTAACAAGTCCTTGCAGTGTGAAGGCTATGATGGGTGCAAAACGTCCGACTGAAGTGCATTTGTTCCTTGATGCTCTTGTGCGGCTCCCCCAGTCCATTGCAAGCTGGCACTGCTCCACTGTATGAAAGGTTCCAGCTGTGCACCAAGCATTTCAGCGTGCCCATTCTTGTTGTGAATCAACAACAATGACAGCAAGCACTTGCTGCTCACGCATCTTGGGTGGTGACAATTATTTTCAGCAGTTTAGATTACACCACAGTGAGCCTCTGCCTATCTCCGAGCGCATCTGGGACAGGCGTACCTCACAGTATATTCTGGCTACATCGCGCATTCGTTTCCCATACTGCAGGGGACAGGTAAGGGGGTCAGGGGTGGGGCTGGTGGCAAGTTTTCTTACAAGGATTCAAATACTCATCTTCCATCTTTGAAGGGAACACAACGGCACCACCAAAGATCTGAAATGAAACAACCGAATATCATGCACACAGTGTACAATGGGTAGTAACCCATACATAGGTCCAGAGACAGAGTTGGAATCGAAAAGAGTTGAAAGTCTCCAGGCAAGAAGGAGCTGCCTGGCATGTTCTTGTCCTTCTGCAAGAATCATGGAGTCCAGAGGCAGGACCACAGACTTTAATGGGGCATGGGCTCACCAACAACAAGTTGTTGTTGAGATCGGCTTCAAAAGGATTATCACCAGGACCTGCTCCATTCGTCTCAACCAACGGGCCTGGAGTGCACCAAGCACACCATGTGAGTCACAGTGCAGGCCGTCCCAGGTCTCCTCCATTCTCTCAACCACTGCTGTCGCCAGAGTGTAAAAGAAGGGACGAGTCCCTGCTGTACCAGGACAACACGATACAAAATAGAATGAACAAGCATTTCCCAGCACTCCACATGCTGCAGTGAAAGGCTATGCCATGATCTGAAGTCTTGCATTGTTGCTCACACAAACATTCTTTGTTTGCAGTCAGCAAGACATCCATGGCAACGGCAATACTAGCAAATATGCAATGTGCAGGTCACAGGTGATAAATTAGTACCCGTTGCCCATCAGAAACACTGCCACCAAAACTCTCTCATTCGCGGCAACCCTTTCATCAGCTTGAAAAGAAGCCTCCTGCCCTGCCCAGACCTGCCTTGCTGCTCAAAAACAAAAACTGAATGCAAGAGCTGTGCAAGAACTGAACACCATGCTGTTGACATGTGTTAGCACAACGACAGGTTGACACATGCTGTGCCACTGACATCAGGCCCTGGATGCCACAGCTGGGCAAAGGCCAGCCCAGAGGAGTCCCAGAATATGCATTCTCCTACTTCTCAGGAAGGGGTTGTTTTTGGCACCATCCTCACTGCCCAGAGGCATCTCAGGGACACTGTCAGCTGTGCCTTCACCACTGTCCTTGGTGCTGTTGTGAGCCAAGGTGTGCTTGCCTCCATCTTCTGAAGGCCCTGAATGTTCGACTTGTGGCTCCACATTCACCCAGCTGGGACAGTGCTGTAGGGCTGATGACCGTACATATGGAATGAGGGTTGTGTATAGGGACAGCAAGCAAAAGATCTGCCACACAAGACAAACATCAGTTTCAGAGACTCTGCTGTTTATCACAGTTACGCTGACTACAAGGAAAGCTTTTAGAACGAATCGGGGAAGCAGTCACATTGCCGTTGCTCTCCACCCAGTCCAGATCCGTTCACTTGGAATCTGTAACGTATCCTTGTTGACCAGCTGTACTATAAGCCATGAAGAAATAGATGCGCTTCAAAACAGTCCTGCAACATCTTCTGCTACCACTAACTCTGTCGCCACACATCGAGTGAAAGCTACAAGGGCATGCTGATGTGACCTGGAAAGAAACTGCTGCCCAGGTGAGATGCACAGGCACTCTTCTTGGATGGGCAGGTCTCAATCTTCCAAACCTGAAGCCCACCTTCCTCTGCTGACTTTCTCTGGGGATGTGCATCTCTGCTTCGCCCCTGTGCACAAGACCAAACTCTGTAGTCGCTGGGTAGGGGCTGTCTTCAATAAGCTCCACCATGTGTGTCGCTGTGTTTAGGACGAGTTTGCTGTACACGTTCTCCATCGTCTTGGCCCATGCCAGTGTTGCTGGCAGCAGCGCTTCAAATGTTGACGAGACAACTACATCCGAGCGATCCATTACCATTCTGAATAGCACCTCCTCGACCTGACAAACTGCCCACCATCAATCACCCACAATGCACAAATTTGGATTCCGATTACGCCTAGCACCACAGAATCACCTATCATTCAACTGCGGTTCACCTATTATGGCAGCAAACTTGATGTGGTGCATCAGCAACGCATTATACACATTAGTTGACTCACCGGTGGTGAGTCACAGCAGGGTGAATGATTGATTCTTGGAAAGAAAAACAGTACACAAAGAGCAATGCTGAATCCTAAAAGATGTGACCAACATGCAAACCAAATGTGGAAGAAAAAGGCAAGGTTCCACTTTGGAAGGCGAAATAAAGTTCAGTCCGCATCGTTTGGGATACACTTGGCCCTGGATGTACCACCATACAAATGGCCATAGCAGATACAACAAATTGATGATGTCTTGTACAGTGATATGCAGGTCATCCATGCTCACATGCCATTGAGACAACAAATGCACATTTTCAGAATGGCACTGTGGGATCCACAGTCTTGGAGGGCCAGGTGGACAAAACTGCATGCGCAACCCTCAGTCTGTGATTGTTGTACATTCCATCTCTAAAATGGCAACACCCATCCAGCCCCACATCAACAGAAATTTGTAAGGGCACTGGTTTGCTATATTGGATAGGTGGGATCACAGCTGATTCTTGCGATACTCACCATCCAGTGTTTGTTCCCAGGTGAGAGGAAATCCAGTAACTGCACCATGCTGGGCACAACAGACAGCCTGACGTCTGACTCAGTGTCACTGGAAAGCTTGTGCAGGATTGACAGAATGGCAGAGGCCCGGACGTTGTCATCAACAAGCCCAGCCAGTGCACCCACAGCTTCTGCAAGAAGCGCACGGCGCTCAGGATACTGGAACCAAGCAATACAGGAGTCAATAAGAAGGTGCCTCTTGCCATAGTTGACCAAGTTCACTGGTTACATGCTGCATTGAAAACATCTGACTGTGTTGGCAACACTTCAGTATCAGCAATTGAGCCCCACAGGGCTATGCAGGGTGTGTTTCTCCACAATAGCATTTCTGCCCTTGTGTATGGCCACAAGTTCTGCAAAGGACGGCACTGTAGTGGGGCAGAGGCACTTAGTCATGGCCACAATATGATCATCGACTGTGCTCCTGAATAATTAACAAGTCGCCAGCAGCAGAGAAAAAGGACCCCACCAGCTCCTGCATGAGAGCTGCCACTGATGCAACCAGCACACTGCTAATACAAGTGGCAACTCACAAGCCAGCCTGCCAAGATGGAGGTACATCGACGGAGAGATGCACCACTGAAATCGCCCTACCAAAACTCTTGCACACAAGAAACGACCAAGGGGTACAGGATTGCCAGCATTTCCCCTGGAATGCACCAACAGATCCACAAGTATTGTTAATGATCACTACTGTTATCTTTTCAAGTGGTAGAGCTACATGGCATCCAATAGCATCATCCACCGAATTATTGCTGTTCATCACTGATGCCCACAAGCAAATGCCATTCCAACAAATGAGGTATGTGAATAACATGTACAGCCTGCACACACCTTGTGTCCCAGTTGCTCCCACATCTGTGGCATCAACTCGTCTGCTGTTCGCTGTGGCCCAATCACAGTGGCCAAACTGATACACCCACTGATAATCACCTGCACAAGACATGCAGTCAGCAGCATGAACACTGACCTGCAACTTTCGAATCACAAGCGACACTGGGGAAAATGGCAGCCAACTGTGCAATTGCGCACCAGGGACTGTTGGTGTGAATGCTTCACGATGCAGGCAATACACAGGTATTTCAATCTATCCAATAAAACAACTCCTGGCAGCTTTGTCTACAGACATTTTCAACAGTCAATGCACAGTATAAAAGCGGCATCACCTTGAAAATCTCATGGTTCTTGTAAGTGCCTTGTAGCATCATGCATGTAAAGGATCTATGGCACAGCTCCCTGCCAGTTTACATCTTTTACACTTGACACACAAACTCACTACCAGGTTTACTATCTGAACAAAATGATTCTGGAGACTGAGGGCAGATTCCTTTCCTTAATCTTCAGTTCCTTAGCAGCATGCAGGTCCAATCGGTCCTTACCTTTCTCTGCTCTAAATGGGGTTTCTTCACAAGGTTGAAGAGCAGACGTGCAAGATTTTCACGATCTGCCTTCACTGGATTCTCCTGTATCAGGGCTATTATCACTGGCACGATCTCTGACCAACACAACACAATAATTAGGATGGCATTGAAAGCCAATGTGTGTGCAATAACCCATTCAACTCACATCAACTTAATGCGTCAGTCAACAGCCAAGGTGATTTGTAGAGAACACAACAATAGAGCCATGCTCTACATTCTTTGCAAAGAACTGTAAATGAAGTTTCGCCAAATCACCAGGTATAGAAGTGATCTTGGCATTCACACTATTAACGGGGATGCCTTCAGCTGTAGGTGCCTAAACTTGCTCTCTTGTCCTGACAAAGGCCAGTAAACCCATAGACACATAGGCTCACATTCAGCATATTTAACTTTCCAGCAGCTTTCCACTTTCCATACATTGCACTGCACCTGCACCCGGCATTCCTTTATCAGCACCACACTATATTAAAACCCTCGGCATCGTAACGTAACGATAGGCCATTTTATGTGGAGCAATAATAAAAAAACAATGCTGTAAAAGCATGCAGAACCCAGAAAGTAATGCCCTAACTGTTTAAGGACGACTGGGCTGGCCACCCGCACTCCATTGGGTGACCACAGTGCACCCAACAGGCATGTACAAATGCCCCTCCATTCGGCCAATCTGCACCTCTCCCTGCAAAGGCTTGTCACTGGGGCCGTTGCAGACTGCCCAGTGCTAGGGAGACGCAGAACATCCTGCAGTTAACCGAATTGTCGGGCTCCCTGCTTGGGTAGCACAGTTCACCCGCAGTAGGAGACTGTGCATTGGTCAACTGCAGCTGAAACTTGGGCAGCAGGTTGTTCTGCCCAACCTACTCCCACAAGACACGACGCAATTGACAGACACAATAAGCACTGGTCTGTCAAACATATGCGGAGAAGAAAGCGTAACCATGAAAATAAAAAGTGGAAAGGGTGAATATACTAAGGTATTCAGGGCTGTTTGATATCCAAGAAAATCTGGAGAGAATGTGACAAGTCCTTGCATCTACTGAGTAAAGCCAAGCAGTGATCACATGCACAAGTGTTGTGGTAAGATAGGACTGAACAGATGCTGCCAGCTGATCACCCAGCTTCAATCGCTCTCTCAAAAAGGTTATGTCACTTGTGCACATATCTGTACAACTGCTCACCTTGTCTCTTGTTGATCAGCACATTTGGCAGAATTTGGGGGAGTGTGTCTGTTACCACCCGCAGTGCATTTGATCCGATTGGCCCCCAGTGGGAGTAATCATAGCCAGCTGGAGCCGACGTTGAACAATCTCTCCCACTCTCAGCTGAGCTAAGTTCCTGAAAGGCCAACATCAAAACTTGCACGTCATTCACAGCCAGACAGAACTGCAACAAGCATCAACAGCACCAACAATCCACATATCAGAAGGCTGGCCACTGCTGTTTGCTAAGGAAATTGCGAAAAGTATAGATCAGGAGTCCATCTTCCATACCTCAAGTACACGTTCAAGACAACAAGTCTACGCAGAACACATGCAGTGATCTATGCAGAAGCATAGATCAGCTTTCTGGCCCTGAATGCCTGCAGCATTGTCTTCATATCTTCACTGCTGGCCCATGTTGTGCTTGACTTCACTAAGTGTTGCTTGGCACAGGCACAAGAGAAGATCAGCAAGTGAACCAGTAGCAGTGACACAACTAATGCCTACAAAAGGTGCCCATGACTGTCTGAGAAACACTCTATGGGGAAACATAGAATGTGGGGAACATTTTCCAAGCCGTACTGGAGGGGGCCTGCATCCTGCTCCAGGTTCATTTGCTTCTGTTGGCATCACATCCGCGGTCTCGCTAGCTTGGACCTGTGAGCCTAACTTTTGTCCAGACACTACTGCTCTTGCTGCATCAAAGCGCTTCTCCAAAATCTGAATGTCCCCACGCAGCAATTGATTCTCACCACGCACAGCTTCATGCCTTTCCTATGCCAGGGGCAGCAGGTATTGTCAGGATAACAAGAAGAAACAGGGCAGCATGAAATTTGACTGTGATGCTTTGGCACTGCGAAGTAACAATGCATCCTGAGCTGTTTGTCATCACCAATCACAGTGGAAACTATACCGATATGGAGTTGCCACAGCCTTGCAAAGCAGTAGCCATCTATCTAATTGTCAATTTGCACACCCAGGAGATCAACAGCTGTACAAACCGAATGCAACAGCACTGCACATCAATAGCAGCAAGGGCCGACAACAGTCATCAGAACCATGGAGAGGTGATTTCCACCTGAAGCATTGTGTATTTCCCCAGCAAATCGTTGAACTGTTCCTGGAGCGTTGTAAGCTGCTCTGATGCAACCTGCAGATAAAACAAAATGATGTCGATGGAGATTGTGCTTCACCGATATTCATTTCCCCAGTGTGAATCAGAAACTGCCAGAGCCAGCCGTGTGCGCTTGCACACATGGCATCATGGTTATATTGGTTTAGATGGTTGAACTCACCTCAGCAGCCTCCTGGGCTATGCCATTGGTCCGTGCATTCCTCATTATCTGCCATAGTGAAAGGCCTTCTGCACCAGACAGTATCCATAGTCACAGGTGATACTTAGAGGAGACCCCTCTCACAGTGGTGCCTGGCACACCTCTACCCTCCAACTATCCAACCAGTACATACATTTCGGGAGCCACACAAATGGCCACAAGGCAATCTCTGCAACTGGAAATTAATCAGTCAATCAATTAAAAGACAGAAATCCCAACTGTGGTGCTGGTGTCACCCGCTTCCCAGCTCTTGGCAGTTAATCTGCCAATGATCAACATCTGTGCCATGCTCTTCTGTTTCGCACACCCAAGGATGCAGAGCTTGACTGCATGGTCATATTACTTCACACTGAAACCAGGATTGTGACTTCCCTTGACCAAAGAATGTTCTACAAATTCTGTACTCAGGCCATAAATAAAAGCAACATACCGCCTCTGGGTGTCTTGCAGCTGATGAGGCCCCTTGCCTCTTCCTGCAGCGTCAAGGCCGTGACCTGGTACCCATATTGAAGCAAGTGGGCACACACCAGACTATTCAGCTCAGCCAGATCCCTGCAGAAGATTACAAACTCATTCAGCCACAAACAGACATGCAAGAGCGAAATCAGTGCACATTCTCATGATGTTAAGCACACAAGAGAAGCAAGTCGTCATTTGATCTTGTGCAACAGTCAACAACCTTGCGCTGGCTTCTGGGAGTGCTAGAATAACTTTCAAATGCTGCACCACACACAAAGCGAAATTCACCTCGGTCCTGATGCTGGGCATCCCTGCAAAAGGTATTCACAAGCAAGGGCTTCCAGCACAAACTCCAAAAAGAGAAAAAACATTGAAAACGACTGCACCAAGCTTTGCAACTGACTTTGTTGCTGCATCAAATCAGGGTATAACATAGAGAAATGGTGTGTTGTTGTACCACAGTACAACATCTAACCTATCAACCAATTCTGTGGTTGTTTCTGGTATCCTGAGCAAGGTAATCTCCAAAGATCGAGAGCAGTGGCTGCACCGTTGCGTTGGGTTCTCCACATCGAGGTCCAAAGATGAGGCAGTCGCAATTGAAGTCCTGCTGTGAGACGGCCGATGTGCAGCACACACAGAGTCGATGCCCTCCTGCTCAGTTACTTCTTGCGCCTTTGCTCTAAGTCGCTCCTTTTGACCACAGGCAACACAAAATCACATCACAGCTCACAGTTGTCTGAAATCTGTTTGATGATGCCACTACTTTTAAGTCTTAGTGCTGCCCATGCACCTTAAGGCAAGGCGATGCATGGCAACTGTACCTGTGATGGTTTAGGACAGTAAGGACTGCCTACAAAGGAGTAGGCTGAATCCTCACACACGATGTTGCAAAAGAGTAGCCCCGTCGCATGCCAGTGCCAGTTGCAGAAACATTCCAGCTTTCTACAGCTGCCTCACCAATCAGGTACATAAAGCCCTGCTGCATGATTGAAACACAATAGCAGATTGCTTTCTGAAGCAGACACCCATACCTTCATCTCGATGGCGTCCTCCTTGGCCAGACGAAGCTCATATTCTGACACACTGAGCCTCTCTTCACGCTCCCGTGCCAGCGATTGCACACTCAATGCTGATAACAACAAAAGAAACACAATAGCAGAACTCAGAGCTCAGCACTTTTGACCATAGCAACAGCAACAGCTTCACAACTGACTATTAGTTAACTTTGTTTGGAAGCTGACAAACAGGGTTGTCAAGCTGCCGTACAAGATCAGCGGACTGGGGGAGCAAAGGAAGTTGTCAGGGTAACCAACACTGATGAATTGGAGCGGAGAGGTAGGCGATACTGCGTTTCATGCAGATGTTGTAAATCAGAGTTCCCATCCATCAAATCCATCCTGGGAGAGTCCTTGCGTATAGTGCGCGCTGGCCATGCAAGACCAAGAATGAGAACAGCGATGGCAAGCAAACATGGGACACAATAGGCAGCATGCGCAGTTCTCACCATCTTCCCCCTGAAACTTCGCTAGCTCTTGGGGATTGAATTTCTCAGCATTTCTGAAGAAATCCTGCAGGAAGATCATCAACCCTTAATCAAACAGCAGCAATAGAAGACCACAGACAGGGTTATCCATTGCACTGTTCTCAGGCTGGCTTTGTTGTGAGGGCTAATACCAGCCATGCGCCAATAGCAAATGATTCAGCAATGAAATTAGTTTGATATTCAAACAACATATGCCCCAACAGCTGCAGAATTCTTCTTGCCCGAACAGCAATTCGCACATGTGAGGTGTTCTCAGTGATTTTCCTTACTTGAGCAGTCCAATCAGAAATAGCAGTGTCAAATAAACTACACATGCACACCCTTCACCACAGCCCCACCCATTGTGATGCAAAAAGCAAGATGCCATTGTCTCACTTTATGCATCAAGGGGCATGGACTGCCCCAAGCTAGAAACAGGGCTGATGAGCAGTCTTAATGCCAGGCATGATGGCTTCATGAGCCTCTCTGGCTGTGACAGCTAGCACGAAGATGGCAAGATGCATTTGAATCTTTTGCCTGGATGGCATACAAAAACCAACAGCTTAATTTGGTCGGGCATCAAACGTTGTCCTTGCGATTATCGTGTTAGCATTACTATGCTGCCAGATTGGGGGGCAAGGACTCTCAATTGTCTTGCGGGACAGTTGTGATCTGAAAGTCTGACCCGATCTCAAAGGTGCAGGGTCAGTGTCATGACTTCCACAAATATGGACAAAGCAAATATCAAACCAAAGAATGAACCCAAGAATTCCTTGAGGTGGCAACGTACCCGCAGCAATGTGATCTCCTTTTCATGTCCTGTCTCCTCAGCCTCCACCAGCAGCTCAAGGGCAGTAAGATAGTAGTCGCGGGAGAGCAAAAACTGCCCAACCTGAATGACCAAAAATGAATGCATCTTTACCCACAATATGTGGCAAAATAGTGGCTGAGGAATCAGACAGTCAAATAATATTAATGGTCTACAGGACCGTACAATGACAGTACAAAACTGACCAAACTGAAGTTCAGGTCAATCAACTTGCAGAACCAGATAAACAAGCAGAGAGGAACACACATGAAAAATTAGGCAAGGACATTTGCCAGAAAACAGTTTTTCAGGCTGCTATGGGCGATCAACACGCGTGCAATAGCTGCACCAAGGCATGGTGCACTGGCTCACGTTGTGTACCCGGTCATGTTGAAAATAATATGCCAGCATTGTTCTGTCTGTTTTTATGAACACAAACATGAGGCGATTGAAACTTGCAGTCTGTGAGGCTCGCCTGTTCAATGGTCATCGGCTGTCCTGAGCTGCCATGACTTCTCCCTGAGGACCACGATGGCTCAGAGAGCAAGTTGCCGCTGGGGGTCTGGTTGCCAGACATGGTTTGTTGCTACCCTTGCCTTCAGCAAACAGAAACAAGGCAATGATATTGGGACTCGCTGAACAGGCAGATTGGGAGCACCCTTCACCCCCGTTGGACACGACACTGGGGTTCCTGCAAACATGCAGAATGCATTCGATATCTTGAGCGACAGGCAGTTCCCTCCGACACGAGTGCCGCCCATTGCGTCGTGCTGCCACACCGACACAGCAACCCCGTGGGCCCCCGACATCCCATCCCAGTGAATGGGCTTGCCCTGACGTTTGACAAGTGTGATATCAATGGATATGCACCTTGCGGGCCACACTCCAAAATTGTCTCATTGCCACCTGGATGGGTCTACCGAAGCGCGCAGCAAACGCACAGGATCTCGCCGGACGGCAGTCAATAGATGCAGAGATTGGCACAGCGCCGCCGAGTCGCGGCCGTGACGCAGGCAGTGCAGCGCACGCCTCAATCTCCGAACTCGAAGGTTGTCGGCACTTGCCGGTCTCCCAACCGCCCGGCCGCCGATCGCGCGCCCCGGGGTGGCAGACATACCGGCCGAGCTCCTGCGCTCGCCGTCGACGCATCGGCTCGCTTTCCGGTTTCCCGCGTGGGGCACCCGCACACCGCAGCGCCCCACAGGACTCCCGCCAGCCGTCCGACGCGCAGCAGCCTGCGCAACCGATCGCCGGCTCCCAGCCAGGCAGTTCCTTCCCACCTATTCAGCTCCGTCCCGCGCCCCAAAATGCACGATGTCCGTCACGAGTTGCGTCCGCTGCGGCGGCGCCTCCTGGACACGTTTCCGTCCTGCGTGGCTTGTACGCATCCCTCGCCACAGATCCAGCGCCGCCTGGGGTCGGCCTCCGGTCAGCGCGGATGATCTCCGGGCGGCGCAGCCGGCCCGGGAGAGAAGGAGGGCCGGGCGGGGCGGGTGCGGGCGCCGGGGACGGGCCACCTCTGAAGGCTTCGAGTGCGGGAGGGCTGCCGCAGAGCCCGCACAGAGCCAGTGGCCTTCAGTACTTTCTGCCGCAATACGACTTGCAGGGGGGGGGGGGTCGCAGTACAAACTGCCTGGCAATTTCCGTTGCACCCGGTTCGCATGACCAGTGACAGACAGTGCCAAAGGGGACGACCTGGCCCGTTTTCGGAAACCCGAGAATTCCACGTGGCCACCGACTGAGGACAGGAGAAACCCACTTGCACCAGGGGTCCCAAAACAGCGGCCCCCCAATAGGTCACCCTTTTGGGGCTTGTAACCACTTCTGCAGTACTTTATGCAGCCGCCCCCTGCACAGGCGCTAGGGTACCCCCTATACCAGAGGACACGGTACCCCCTACACCGGTGGCCTGGGCCCCCCCCACACTGGCAGCTTAGGGTACTCCCTACACCGGCGGCCAGGGTACCCTTTACACAGGCCGCTTAGGGTACTCCCTCTAACACAATAGCGCACCCGGCCCCCAAGAGCGCCCCCCTTTTGGCCGTGTCATGGGGGAGGCGCTACATAGGGACCCCTTCTGTGTTCCGAGTGTGCCGCGCCCAGCGCCACTACCCTGGATTTCCGCGTTTCTGCGACGTGCACGACCTGCGAAGGGAGTGGACCCTGACATCCGCCCAGCTGGCGTCGCAAGACACGGCAGCGTCACGCCTCCTTTCTACCCGTGGTGCAAACTCCATACCTCGCCGACGCCGTGCTCGCTGTTTTGGATGCTGGCCGCCGGCGGCGCAAAGGGCGTCCGGCCGTTGGAGATGGCCAAACGCAGGCGCGATGGGAAGGGGAAGGGACCCGCGGAGGGCGCCTGGGGGGATCGCGAGTCGGGTAAGCGGGCGAGGGCGTCGCGCGATCGGGGAGCCGCTCTGGAAGAGGGGGTTGGAAAGATGACGGTGAGTGGGTTCGACGGGATTGGCACAAAGGGGCGCGGAGGCGGGGGCCTGCCGTCTTCGGATCCAGGAACGGATGGATGCCATGCCAGGGGGAGTGTCGCGGAGGATGGAGCTGGACCGGTGGGGGCAAAGCAGTCGAGGGGAAGGAAAATGGGGGAGACGCTTGGGAGGGGTGAAGGGAAAGTCCTTGTGGCGGGATCTGGCAAGGGCAAGGGGGGATCGGCGGCTGGTGGAGCGGGCAAAGGCAAACGAGACGCCGATGCCGGTAAGGAGTCGATGGGAACGGGAAAGAAGTCCAGTGCAAGTCATGGAAAGCAACGGGAGGATGGTGGGCCGGCTGGTGGACTTGGTGGCGAATTAGGGAATGGGTTAAAACGAAAGGGTAACCAGGATGAAGACCTGGATGCCATATTTGCTCCGGTTTCAGGTGGCCGGAAGAGAATTGGGGGCGAAGTGAAACCTCAGAAGGAGGAGAGGTCGCATGGAAGGAAAGGCTTGAATTCAAAGAGGAAAACTGGGGAGCAGCAGTGTGCAGAGGTTGTTGGCAGCAAGGATGATATCTTTGGGAAGATGTCCAATAGCGGCGGGCGCAAGAGGACCAAGGAAGGATACAGGGTCTATGGGGAAGATGAGCTGCGCTTGGGTGTAGAAGGAGGTGACACAGCGCTATGTCCCTTCGATTGTGACTGCTGTTTCTAGACTTGAGGGTCCATTGTGCAAGGGATTGAAAGAAGATAAAAAAAGGGACTGCTCATTTTTTCAACATCATAGGAGTTGCACATCAGTCGGCTTTCAGGATTAAATTGTCGGAAACTTGACTGTTATCAAGCGTCCAACTTTTTCGTTGTTCTATGAGCACGCTGTGCTGTGCAAAGCAGACATCGAACAGCATTGACCGTGTGCTGGAACACCATTCACCAACAGGATTTGTCATTTCCCGGCCATTACAGCTGCTTGCAGTTCCCAAGTTGCGGTTGGTTGGGGTTGAATGCCCATCGTGGTGGTAGGACGATGCTCTGTGATTAGGCTCATTCTATTTTGTGCAGCTTTGCTGGCTCGCGAGCTGCTTTACACATGCAAGCAACACAACTTGCGAGAACAAATTTTTCATGATGCCAAAAAATTGCTCCACAGCATGCCGAACGACACCACGCATCTACAAAAGTCGTTCCTTTGATTGTAGTTTTGGAACAAAACTGGTACAGCCCTGCCCCAGATGCAAGGCACTGCATTTTCAAGTCGACGGCCCAACGACTCCACGGTCGACCGGGCGAACATTCCACGGATCGTTTCTGTCGAATGCATGAAGACAGCCGTTTTCTCAGTTGTTCTTTTTTCGTGTTCACCACTTCTACAAATATGCACGCGCCGAATTTCGTCAATGGGTTGTGCACTAGCACGCCAGCTATTCCACGAATCAGTGCCCTGCTTACTTGGAGCCAATGCACGTGGGCTGGACCGATGGCAGCAAAATTTTCGCAACATCATGGAAGGCATCATCCAACGCGACGCTTCACCCAGCGCTTACAACAGTCCATGCCACACAGTACCAGACGCATGATACAACAATCACAAGCGCCTTCCGCTCAAATAGAAGTGCTGTTAGGAATTCCGCTGTTGGGTTGCCCCGGGCAATCTTTCTTCAATGTGGGAATGAGATATGTGTAAGGGAGTGCATCAGGGCCGTTGCGCGACTTCAATGTAGTGTCTGCATTCCGCTGCTTTATCTCCTCTTCCGCCTTGTCCAACCTTTCCTTGTACTTGGCCAGGGCAACGGCAACCTCAGGATCCGCAAATCGATCGGCTTCATACGTGCCCAAGTAGGGCTCGTCATAGTCTTCGCCGTGGGTGGCCAGGATCTCGACCAAGCTCAAGTTCGTCGCCACGGCAGAGGGCTTGGGCATCATGTCCATGAAAATGTCCTGGGCTGCAGGCATGCATCTCGTCAAACCGAAGCACCCAACAACGAAGCCAAAATCATCCAAATTGTAGCTGGTGCAGGCGAGCCATTCGAGAGTGTGCTCAGTTCAGGTATTAGCGACTGACACGCCACAAAGCCGTCGCTGCTTCGTCGCATGCCAAGCCCAATACACACGTTAACTAGCCACAGATCACCACCCTTGAGCAATTTAAATGTCAAGATTTTGTGCATTTCAGCCCCCAGATTGTCATTTTTTATTAAAAAACGACCCCATATTGTCGTTTTTTTTGGGCTAGAATATAATTCCACCCATGCACCTGATGCACGACCTCAATGCCCCTCAAATTCTCCAGGCGTCGCTCAAAGCAGGCAAGGGCACCTCCTTTCTACCAGAAGTGTTGAACAACATTCTGCAAGCCCACGTCGCAGCCGAATGCTTGAAGAATCAGAGGAGCTATGATGGCGTCACCACGCTGTAAACTCTCTCAACTTGACTATCTTGAGCCTCTCAAGAGAAGCCCGGCTGGATAAGCGAAGGGACGACATGCACATTGTGATATGCAATCAAATCGCCAACCCAAACAGTGTACAGCAAACCCGACGTCCACTACACTATAGACCACCTACCTGCCCAAGCACAAACTCGTTCTCGTTGATGCGATGATGAGTTAAGTGTGCAAGGCGCAACTCGAAGTTATCCTTCTGCATGCGGAGGTAAGTACATCGGATCACGTGCTATCATATGTGTATCTATTCGCCATTTCAACATTCTTCCATTAAGCTATTTTTCTCACCATACACAATAAATCTACAATTTCCTACCTTTCTTGTCACCGCGGTGGGGAATGAGTTCTTCTTCCGTCGGCATCTCTCTCCGACACGTCGCCGGCCGGTTTAGAAAATAGCCAAGGTAGTCCCACTGGGGAAAGTTCATGGCGGCGTGGTACGCCGAGGCCAGCCAGATCATGGTCGTCAGGATGCCCACCAGATCCTGCACGCCCGCCAGCTCAGGCCAGACATCCTGCTCGTCGGCGATCTTCCAGGCTGGATTCACCAGGTCACCGTGCGCCTCGTACTTTATGTCTTTCCACCAGTTCATCAACTCCTCGTCATTCAGTACGTCAGCGTCGGACTTGTAGTAGATCTTGGAAACGACACACACATGTTGGATTGAAATTTCGCTTGCGTTCGGCCTCACTGGCGAAGCGTGGCCATAAAACAAGATTGCGATGGGACGATGCGGCTTTTCAACGAAGCCAAAACCCATTCCCAGTGCAGCTCGAATGGTTTGACCCATGGTACATCATTAGTTCACGATATGCCCACGATATGTGCGTGAATGAGGGATGGATTATTTGCTGCAGTCAACGTGGCGCACACACGGACAGGAATTGCAAAACGGGCAACGTTATCGCCAGTGGCATGCAGGCAAATGTTTGCCCCATGAAATGCAGGGCTGTGGGAAATGAGCCATTGCATGCGCTTGCCCCGTACAGTTCATTGCGCCACTGTTGCAAGCCCACTGTCCAGGCGCCCGACAACTACCTGCAGGTACTCCGTCGTCCACGCATGGATCGCGTCCCAGATGAGCAAACCATCTTGTGCGAAGGGGTAGTCCTTCAGCACCAAATCCAAACTCCCGTCCGGGTTCCTCGATGCAAGTTTCCGCTTCAGCAGATCTTCGGGAAGGCCCTGATCTTTGAACCGCCACCCTTTGTACACAGCGCTGGTAATCTCAAAGGCGTACACACCTGGGGACCATCCAACGGACATCACACACAAGCGGAAACAGTAGCAAAAGAGTGTCCTTCAAGATTAACTGCCACGGAAAAGATTTCTGACAGACAATCTGATTGATTTGAGCATTGATGCACAATCCACACGCAACGCATAGGTGCGAGCCTCGCCATATGGTCCCTCTGCACGAACACGGAGAGTATCTGGTGTCTCTGTGAATGCAGGGGACAAGGTTCGCATACCTTCCACACTGCATTTGGCGCGCCACCGAAGCCAAATATACAATTCGCGACTTGGCCCTGGATAGGATCCATACATATTGTAAGCAATCTCAGCGCAGCCCATGCTGAACATCGAACATCGATCCGACACGCCCACTTCGAAGCATTTTGACAAGGCAAAGCTGTCGCTAGTCCCGCATACCCGGAGTGTAGGATTTCTCCACGTTTCCGTCCGCGTTGATGAGCAGGTTGCGCGCCAGGGCGTTGATGTGCAGCGTGTACTTGAAGTGCGGTTCCATGAGGTTGTGCACCGGGTGCAGCTCACTCAGCATCCTCCTTGTCGCTATTGCGATGGGCTCGATGGCGCAGTGGGTGCGAAGCCAATGACTGATCAACGCATGGACGCCGTTGTCCGTGGAGGTAAAGTGCGCCTTGGCCATCAGCCACATCCACCAAGAATTCGAGTGCGGGTTGTACACGTTGCTGGACCGAGGCGTGCTCAGCTCGATGGCCACGGGCCTCAAGCTACCGGGCTCGCCGCCCGTCTTGGACAGGAAGTACAGACACCTCGGGGCGTACTGCCACCGGCCCTCCTGGCGGTTGATCCTGTCGACGAAGGGCAGGATGGCGGCGGTGTAGTCGACGAGAAACATGCGCCCCTCCTGCAGCCTCTCGTCCAGACACTTCCCTTCCAGGAGGGCCGCAGGGACCGTCTCGTTGCTGAACCCGCTTCCCTTCGGGACGCTGTCTATGGCTTGGAAGGTGTTGGGGTTGACGCCCGCGACGGCCTGCCTGCCCACCTCCTCGTCCGTCATCCAGGCAAACTCGCGCTCCTCGTACACCAGGGGCGGCGGGAACCGCGTCAGGAAGTCCGACACCCGGTCCACCTTCGGCAACGCCTTGGAGAACGCCTTGGACACGACCTTGGGCGCGGAGGGGAACTCCGTGGCGCCCTTGTAGAGGCCGTTCACGTGGTCTATGTCCCTGAAGGAGTCGTCCAGGATCTCCGGCAGCTGCGTCAGGGCGTTCACCACGCCCACTATCTGGACGGCCAGCTGCTGGGGCCCCTTCACGCTCTCCGAGAACATTTCGTCCTCGGGAAGCCACCTCTGCTCGAGGAAGGTGAGGGGCTGGGCCAAGAAGCCCAGGACGTTTCCTTGCGGCACGCTCTCCGTCTTGCCATCCGCGTTCAGCGGCCTTCCAGTCCTGAGCCTGCGCGGGTACGGAAACTCTTCGCTGCCGCCAAGAACTGGCCGTCTAAACTTCGGCTTCTCCTCAACTGTGCTCTCCGCGGATTTGTACGACTTTCCCAGGTCGTTGTACACATCGTAGTGGTATATCCTGTCTGGCGCCTTCCTTTCCTTGTAGTCCGGCTCCTTGAGGGCCTCAAGTTCCCGTTCCCTCCAGGCTCGCAGACCGGGTGGGGTGTCCTTCGGCAGGTAGCTGCGCCCCGTGAAGAACACCCTCTCTCCCTGCTGTTTGAAGATCCAGGAATGGCACGGGAAGAGGTAAGTTTCGTGGCCACTCGCATAGGCCGCGTTCAGTTCCACAGCTCGGAGGCGGACTTTATCGCCGACGAGCATGCCCCCATGGTTCGTGACCACCACGGCGCCAGGGGAAAACATACCCGGGGGCAGCTCGATTTCTCCCTCGGCCTTAAACCCCTTCTCGGTGGCCTTCCTGCTCCACAAGTCGATGAAGGCCTGTCGAACCGCAGAAGCACACAAGGGTCGCAAACACCTCGATGACGGGCGAAGGATGTTTTGTTCATGCGCGGTCAATTCGCGCTCTTATCCTTTTCACACCAAGTTCGCATTGCTTACTTTACCTCGCTCTACAAATTAGCCGCTGGGAAATTTTGTGTGCAGGCAGTGCTAAACTGCCCTCACCGCATGTAGGATATCCTACATGTATCCTATATCATATAGGATATCCTACATATCACCTAGATATGGCATTCGTTGAAACGGCATGGATTGGTGAAATCATGGTAGCGCTGCGAGGGCCGCTTGTTTTCGCCAATGATAGGATCAACTCCTCTTCGAAGAAAATACACTGCAGCACGCACACTTGATGGATTTGGGAGCTCCCGCACCAAGCTGGAGCACACCAAACCGCATTCTGCGACCTTTCGAGTCTTCTACTACTTCCGTCTGACACTAGCAAGAGAATCTTTTGGGGCTACTACAGGCCTCGTGGGCACATTGCATCTTTACTTCCTCCTTTGGCACTTGTCATGGCGCCATGATGCCTATCTTAGGTGCCCCAAGACAGGGTACCATATTCTCTTCCCTGCCACTTTGAAACCAACACTCCTCAGTTGCACCAAATCCTCCATCTTCATTCGTGGGTATCTACGGCTCCAAAATGTTAATGGCGAGACGCATCCACACGCAAATTGTTCTGTTGATACGCCTCAGTTCAGTGACGCTCGTGACTTGATTTCATGTTTCTACACAAGGAATGCAAGGATATTCAGTTTATTTCAGTTCTATCTTGATTGTTTGCCACTGGTGGAAAGGACGCCAAAGCACAGTTGATGTATTAACATTATGAGGCACTTTGGTCCCATTATCACTTGGTTCCAACTTCGGAAATCAATTCAGTTCCATTTTAACACAAGCAGAAACTGTGTGAAATGTGCAAAAGTTTTGTCAGTGTATATTGGACTGCGGCATATTGCAGAGCCCGCTGTTGTTTCCTTAAGTATAACACATCAACATGCAACTGCGTGGGCTGGACACCTCTCTGCATGCTTCTTCTATAACAAGCATCTATATCACCTTCTCGGTCGTGTTGCCTGTCTCGGCATCGACAACGTAAATCGACAGATTGCCCTTCGAGAGCGGCAACCGCCGAAGCACTCTCCCAACAAATCCCCTCCCTTTGCCGAAAATTCTCTGCTCCACTTCGAACGAAATGGACACACGTGCGGTTGTTGCAAGGCCTGGCTGTGGTTCTTCAGATGACATCGTTGGCTCCTCCAGAACTCGGCCCACCGCCTCGGGAGTCCCTGGGCATGGTAATCATGGAGGAGTGTGAGAAGACGCCTTGGGTGGCAATGCGTGGACGGTGCAGTGAGATTGGAGAATCCCCGAAAGGAACGTGGCGGCCACGGCAAAGTTCGGCCAAAGTACTGTCCTTGCAGACGCCACAACCGAGAGGTTGAAGAACAGTGCGCCGGGCATTGTGTTCCAATATGGCACCTGCTGGTAGGCTTTGGGTGGAAGAAAATTGCAATCGATATCACTCACCCACAGGTGACTGGTCAAGTCATGCTGAGGCCAGGCGCTAGTACTGGCAACAAACACTGCAATACGTTTCTTGTGGCCGGATTGCTTGCCGAGACTTGGTTTGCAACTGCTCAGGAGGCTGGTGCTTTCACGTCCCGGCAGCTTCCCCGTACTGCCGTATGCGAATGCCAACGACAACTTCCGCGCCGGCACCGGATTGGGGAATTTATGATTGGAGTTTTCGATTGGGGTATTTTTGATTGCTGACTGGAGAATCCCCAACAGCAGTCGTTTCCCCCACACGCAGCAGAGCCCTGTGTGCGAAGGGCCGCGGGCCTCGTCCATGCGCGTTTATATACGGTAATACATACGGTACACGGTATTACGGTATTGGGGCGCGCTCGTCATGCCTCCGAGTCAGCCCCAGGCCGCCTTCGCACCGGCGCCGTCACTGCACGTCCGACGACGTTATCCGCACTCGGATCTCCGCGCCGCACCGCGGCACTCTCCACGCCCTTCGAGCCGCGTGCCTGCAGCATCCCCCGGAAGCCCGGCCCTTGATGGGACACTCATGTGACTTCCTGCTGGCGTCACCGCTGCCCCGCCCGCCCACGCGGGCCGTCTTTCCACGGACCTCACCCTGGACTCCCTCCCCGGCCCGGCGCCCCACCCTTTCCCCCCAGCCTCCCCACCGCCGACGGCTCCACCAAACTGCAGCCGGCCGCCCGCAGCAACGGCCATCCTCCCAAACACCGCCTTCCACCAAATGAATCCCACCCCGCGGCCTCAAACACGTCATCCCCCCCCCACAACACCACCACCACCGCCACACCCCTCATCGCGATCAGCAGGGCCCCGGGCGCAGGCCCGGTGGCGGCACCACCCCCGCATCTCCACTGCAGCGGGATCGCGGCGGCAATCTTTCGCGGCAGTGCCCCACCTGCAGGCCTCCGCCTCCCGCTGTGTTGCCTGGACGTCATGTCCGACGCACAGCGGGCGCCGGACAATCCCACCCTACAGGCCCGGCTGGGCAGGCCGACGGCTCCCGGCGATAGGGGGCTGCAGGCACGCCCCCGATGGCCCACGCGCCCGGTGCTCCGCGCCTGCTTCCGGGATCCATGGCGTCCAACGAGCGCGATCGGATGCGCGACGCCGATGGCAGCCGGGAGTGGCCCTTCGATTGTGACCACCCGCATGGCACGTTGGCGAGGAAGATGGGTGGGGACGGAGGGCCGCTGCGGGAGAGGGGGGCCAAGGAGCGTCGTAGCGCGAGGGGGAAGAGGGCCGGGGACGTGCTGGTGCGGGGCTTCCCAGGAAGTCGGCTGTTGGGGGCTGACCTTCTTGTGCCCGCTGACAGCATCACACGATACACTGGGGGTTCCGGTTTAGCGACCACTGGTGACAATCCGCTGAGTGGACGCTATACCTGTCCGTCGTCGCTAAATCCCTGCAGTACTTTAGGCCCCTGATCAGTGCTTAACGCAGTCTTACTGTGCTGTAAGGCCAAGTCCCGCAAGGAGTCCATGCGCTTTCCCAAACACCATAAGATACGCCCACCATTGCGTGATTCGATTCTCTTTATCCTATACGCCGGTGTAGGGGGCACCGTCGCCACCAGGTTAAGGGGGGTACCTTATTCAGCCGGTGTAAAGGGTACCCTGGCCGCCGGTGTATTGGGTACGCAGGCTGCCGGTATAAAGGGTACCCTGGCCGCCTTTGTAGGGGCTACACCCGGCCTACTGGGCCCATACTGGCTTTAAGTGCCAGGGACAGTCGCAGCGCCGAAGTCGCGGGCGGTGGGGCCTGTCGCAGTGAAGTAAAGTACTACTGGAATGGTGACAAGCTGTCCAGGTGGTCGTTAACACTGCCCAGCCGCTATTCAGGTGGTCGCTAAACCCTGCCCCCTATCGTATCGGTAGCTGTATTCTTGACTCTTGGGCACACCGACGCGAAGTGGTGCCCACTCCTGCCAAACGACACAAAGCAGAGAGCAAAAAGCCGGTTAAGAGGGCGACAGCAAAATGTCTCACGCATGAGCCGAGAACAGCATCGGTGCAGCCTCCATGCCACCCCATAGAACGCTGCGAGGCCTAAGACACACGCAAAGATCGAATGCTGGCCTGCCGTCGCAATTCGAGAACCCGATGCGAATTGGGGAGGCACCCGGCAAGCAACGCCACTTTTCAGGTTTGCATTCCTTGCTTTGGTTTTGCGTTCATAACAGGGGATCTCCATAGAGCGGCGGCCACACCAAAGAACGGAGGGTCTTGTGAAATGCGCGAGGTGGTCTTCTTCCACAGGCCTTTGTTGGTCTATTTTTCCTCGCCCTGTCTTCTCCCTCCGAAGGTTCCCCGGTCTGATCATTCTTCGGAGTGTTGTCCCTTTCTCCCCTTTTCTTATTCAGGCATCTGTGACTTCCTTTGGCCATCCCACGCAGTGCCTACGGCGTGTGTGGTACATACCCATCTTTAGCCAATTGATCTACCCACTGAAGCAGTGGTCGCGCAAATTTTGCTTCGATATGTATGTAGCTACATACCTATAGGTTGTAAACCACAGTATGTCCATCTTCATGTGTTTCCAAACGACTCACATTCGGAAGATTTGACGAAATAGGGCCATATGCGCAAATCTTCCGGCTCTTTAAAATGCTGCCCCAAGTCAGGCAATGACCAGCGAAGTTCAGCGGAAGAAAAAATGGTTATCACAAACGGTGATTAAACTTGCCTTTTTGGTGAAGCCGCTCAGTTAACTGCATTTAACGCAGTTAAATGGGACACTAACGGTGTCCCAACAGCTGCACCCAACCAACGTCTTTCCCCATCGTCGCCCACGGATGCCGGCACCGAAGCGCTCCCTTCGCGCCTCCCGCCGTCCTTGCCGGGGAGGGTGAAGCTTCAGGGGCTGGCGCTGCTCCTCGCGCACCTCCGGGACACCGACCGCCCACGATCAGGAAGGCCGCGAATCGCTGTCCACCGGCACTTTGGGGGCGGCTGCCCGTTGCGGCGCAATGGATGAGGCGCTCTACGACGAGTTTGGAAATTACATCGGTCCGGAGCTGTCGGAGGGAGAGGTGAGCCGTGGCATCGCCACTTAGGAGACATCCCCGCAAGTTGTGCCAGTTGAGATCCACAGAGCCAAGCGCAGGGCAGCGGCTGTCGCCAGTGGTTGCGGCGCCTGGCAGTGACATGGAGCGATGCCCTCGGTTGTGTGGTTCGTTGGGGCCTGGATCAACACGGCATGTTCGTTGTTTTGATTGGAGGGGATAGTTGGCTCAAGTGGCCCAGCCACGCAACTGCATTCTTGAGTGGACATTTGCTTACGGACCCGGGAACGACCTGCCCAATGCGAATGACTCCTTCGACTGCGATGCGGCGGGAAGGTGCCTACTTGCGTTGGACGTTAACTATTTGTAAACATGTGGTGGATGCCTGGTGGCCAGGAGGCATGGTCTTGAATGGGCGTGAGTGCCTGCAAAAACATTATCGGCATCCAAGATCCCTCCGCTTCTGTATACTTCAGGTGTAATTTCTTTGATGATGTTTCCCAAGATTTTAAGATGCACAGCCGTTGCAACTACAAAGCGATTTAGGACAGATTGGCTGCTCACAGAATACGCAGATTACGATCTCCAAAAGCATTAGAGTCCATATCATTCTGTGTGTTGTTGACTCAGGAAGAGGATGAAGAGGACGAGGAGGAGGACGATGAAGAGGAGGAAGGCGTAGACGAAGCTATGGACGATGCAGATGGGGAGGCAAGGCTGGGTCCACCAGAAGGTGCGGATCAGACGTGTGTCTTGCAAGTGATTGAAAGCTATAGGGCCACTTGAACGGTCGTCCATTGCTGCTTGCTCTCCTGTATTGCTTTGCAAAAACGGTGCCATGAATACCCTTGCATAACTCTGCTGCAAAGTTTTTGTTACCACTTATACTTGTCTCACTGTTCTCTGGATAGAGGTCACAACTTCAATCGCCATATGTGACATCTGCTTGTACAGTTCCCCTTTCTCCAGCACCGTTTGTGTCATAGTCTTTGCCAGAAGGGCATTGTCCTTTGCATAAGCTGTTGGTTTAGCTGGATGAGTCCAATGCAAATGGTCAACATGCCATCTGCCAGCTGCACCAATGAATGGTGAACACGTCTTCATGTGTCCCTGCCGGACATTTCTGACATCCAGAAAAGTGGTGAAATGTATATGCATTTCACAAATCCAGATTTGGAATCATATGTGCTTTGCGGTCTTAGGGCAAGCTTCTGGTTGAAAATGTCGCTGAGTGCATTGGTATTGTGCGCTGCAGCAATCATATCAATGTCCTCCCCAAATCATGTCAAAACGTTCATCACCATACACTCACATTTGGGTCGAGTAGGTAATTTACTTACTTTACAGTTTTGCTTTCAGATCCCGTTTTGCTCTTTCCAGGTTCCTTCTATTTGTGCTGATGGTGTATGTCCTGGTTTCATTGTTGGCAGGAGACCCCAATGAGTGGAACCAGGTGGTCCTGCATGAGGATAAGAAGTACTACCCCACTGCAGAGGAGGTGTATGGCCCAGAGACGGAGACGCTGGTGATGGAGGAGGATGCACAACCGCTGGAAATGCCTGTGATCGCCCCTGTCAAAGATAAGAGATTTGAGTCCCAACACCAGCCCATGAAGACAACATTTGCAAACGACTTTATGGCCGTCCTCATGTCCAACTCTGAGCTCATCAGGTATTTTGAGTGCGCACGGCCCCCAAGTGCTATGTTGAGGAGGGGCAGACACCTGCATTTTAGCACCCTGCTTTAGGAGTGCACAGTTTACAAGAAGTACACGCACTGACATGGGTGTGACGTTTGTGTCGCGCATGTTCCAGGAAAGGATCCATTTGTTGTAACCTCATCAGAGCTCGAGACTCTCAGTATGACTGTGGAAAATATGCCTGTGGGCAGGAATGTTGCAGTTTGTGGACATCTGCACCATGGTAAGACGACCCTGATGGACATGCTGGTGGAGCAGACACACGAACTGCCCAGGCAGCACCAGCATGCCGCCGACCGCCAGATGCGCTTCACTGACACACGCTACGATGAGCAGGCCCGGGACATCAGCATCAAGATGATGCCCATGTCACTCGTGATGCAGGGGTCTAGTGGCAAGTCCTACCTGCTGAACATGATGGATACACCAGGGCACGTCAACTTCAATGATGAGGTCACAGCTGCGATGAGGTTAGCTGATGGCATCCTGCTTGTGGTGGATGCTGTTGAGGGAGTAATGGTCGTCACAGATCGCCTGGTGAAGCAGGGGCTGTCGGAAAACCTGCCAATCTGCTTGGTGATCAGCAAGGTAACCCACCCTGCCAATGGCTTCAAGCGAGAAAAATGATCACTGTGATGAACTGATAGGCAGATGGCCAACAGCGGCAATGCACAAATGAGTACGTTTTGAACTTGTATTGGTTGCACAGGTGGCAATAATCACATCCCCAATTTTTGGTTTCTGCTATGAGTCTGTACTCCACAATAAGTATCTGTGCTCAGCCAATGCTGCTGCCACAATGAGTTCTAGGTGAATCAGCTCTAAATGAATGTCAGGTCACTGTCTGACACAGTGCCAAACCTTGTATCCATCCCATGAGCTATGGATGCCTGTCTAAGGCCCAGTAGACTCTCTATAATGAATCAGTCAACTCCATGCCCATGTTGTGCCACAATGATGCCACCCTGATAGTGTTGGACTCCCATGCTCACAGTTAGTTGCTGATGACCAGTGAATTTGCTCCAAACTGTAGAGTTGTTGTGTGTTGAATATGCGCTATGTTGACATCAACTTCCGGTTGGAAGTCAATGGTAGGCCTAATGCACCAGAAATGTTTGTTGTCACTAACAGCAGCAAAAGGCAAGAAACAGAATCGCCATTTTGAGATCAGGCAAGTGGGAATGAGACCACTGTTGAAGCATCTGCCCCCTGTTGCCTCACTCTGTTGGCATTATTTTTGGTGTTTCTCAGGTTGACCGTTTGATAACTGAGTTGAAACTGCCACCTGCGGATGCATACCACAAACTACGCCACACGATCGAGGAAGTGAATGGCCTGCTAAACATGTACAGGCCCGATGCGGACACCAAGGAGCCTTACTTGGACCCTATCAAAGGCAATGTGGCCTTCAGCTCTTGTGTCTCGGGCTGGTCCTTCACACTGGAGTCCTTTGCCCAGCTCTACTGTGATGTGTATGGTGCAGCAATGGATGCAAGGTGAGCATTGGGAATAGATGTCCTGGTTTCTGAAGTCCAGCCTGTCGGTGTCCTTATGTTGTTTCCAAATCCTGTGGTGGACGCAGGTGCCTGGTTTGCAGAAATCGCCCGATGTGCAGCATCACAGTGCACCGTGCATCTCAAGGTTGCTTGTGTTGCCCCACTCTGCATTGAGCTGACTTTGCATGATGTCTTCATCAGAGCTGATGTGTGAGTGCTCTTGTTGGAAAACTGTTGCTTCTTTTGCTCAGTTGGAATTCCATTGCAGAATGCTGAGGGAATCTCGCACATGTCATCAGCGGGTTGACCCCTTTCTACCACACGTAAAAGGCATAGAATGAGCACCCCCATCCTAAGCCAATGTAGTTGTTCCACTCTGCCCTTGGAGACTTGGACGATGGTATATCCACAACCAGTCCCTGTACTGGGCCTTCCATACAAGCCTCATACCCCAATGCAGGGATGAATTGTGGATATGCCATCGTCAGAGATCTCTCAATGCTCTGCTATCAACATCTTCCTGCTATAGGAACCACCACCGTGGTTTGTGGAGCATTTTTGTGCAGTGTGTGCCCTTGTGTGCACTACAGCTAGACCACTGAACAATGCCTTGTTGGACATAGGGAGTTTGCACAGCGACTCTGGGGCGATATGTATTTTAATGAGGACACAAGGTCATTCCGGAGGAAGCCAACTGCAGGGGGTCAGCGCTCCTTTGTGCAGTTCATCTTGGAACCTTTGTACAAGATCTACAGCCAGATACTGGGAGAACCACACAAGAGCATAGAGAGGATGCTTGGAGAGTTTGGTGTTGCACTCAAGCCCTCTTCTTTTCACAAGGATGTGAAACCCTTGCTGAAAGAGGCGTGTGCCAAGATATTTGGAACTGCAACAGGTGCTGCTTGAGTCTTGGTTTATGTTCTTTACATTGCTGTGTGTCTGAGCACGCTCGTGAAATTGCCATTGAGTGGATAGGATTTCCAAACTGTGGTCTTGGTGTTCTCATATTTGTTGTTAGTTTCGAGTGTGAGGTTTCCATTGAGCAGATACCCAGCAGGGGAGTTGATATTGATAATGGAGACTGGATGTGCTTTGGCTGTTCTTTTGGGCTCTCTTGAGATGGTCTGTGCGAGCATGTACCTAGATGATGACTAAGCTCGTTCTCATCGCAGTTGGTAGATGTCTATCCCCCATGAACAAGTCTCTCTCAACATTCTGTTCGCATTGTTTCTGTTCACTGGCAACTAGATAAGCACATCCCCGCACAGCCAGTGTTGCCGATGATCCGCTAAGTCTGCAGTCATCAAATAGCCACATTAACAAGGAGTTGCAAATCTGTTGAGATTTATGTCTGTATCTGCGGTTGCAATTCCCCACGTATTCACTTTTCCTGTGCCTTGTATACCTTGACCCCTTTTGCTGATATCCTGGTTCTGTGGCAAGGTCTGGTGGACATGCTTGTGCGGCACATCCCATCTTCAAAGCGAGGTGCACCACAAAAAGTGGAGCACTGCTATTCTGGGCCCCAGGACACAGACATCGTGCAGCACATGAAGAACTGCAACCATCGGGGCCCCCTGGTGGTCCACATCGCAAAGCTGTTTCCAAGGAATGACTGCAGCAAGTTCGATGCCTTTGGAAGGATATTCAGTGGCACCTTGAGGACAGGTGACAAGGTGAGGCTTGCTGCAGCAGGAGAGGTTTGGCGGTGTATTATGAGTGTTTAGACTGTAACAGTCAGCACTGACAAGAATTGCTGCAAATATTGACATCTGCTCGAGTGAGGTGTGGTGCCAAGTGCCATCACCACATTTAGTGTCCATGACTAGGCAGCCTTGTCTGTTGACTAGAAATGTGATGCAAGGCAACAACGGGAGGGGGGAATTAGGTAGAAAGGAGACTTATGATGCAACGGGCACCACAGCCCTGATTGACAGCTGTTGTGAGACTCTCTGCTGCACTGTGGAGTTTGCAATAAGCAAATTTTGTGGAAAGCACCACTGTTCCCAGTGAACTACCATACCCGAAGCCAAAATGCAGGCTCACAGGCATCGCCTTCATTCAGTCCCTTTTGTGTGCTGTGTGACCAGGTTAGGGTGCTGGGAGAGGGCTACACACCCGAAGATGAGGAAGACTCGGCGACGGCAGAGGTGGGGTCCATCTGGGTGTACCAGTCCCGCTACCGTGTCCCCTTCACCCGTTTCTCCTCTGGCAACCTGGTCCTGATTGAGGGTGTGGACGCCACTATCACCAAGACAGCCACCCTTGTGAGCGACCTGTGGGAAGACGAGGTGTACATATTTAAGAAGCTGCAGTTCCACACACTGTCAGTCGTCAAGATCGCCACTGAGCCCCTGAAACCGTCCGAGCTGCCAAAGATGGTGGAGGGGTTGAGGAAGATCAACAAGAGCTACCCACTGGCGATGACAAAGGTGGAGGAGTCTGGGGAGCACACTATCCTGGGCACTGGCGAGATATACCTTGACAGCCTGATGAAAGACCTGCGGGAGCTGTATGCAGACATCGAAGTGAAGGTGTGTGTTATTCCGGGCACAATGTTTTCTTGCGCATTTCGATTATTGTAGTGTATTATAGCCCTCAGCGCTGTAGTGAAACGTTTAGCCTTTTTATGCACAGCAATCATAGAAACGTAACGGTGCCAAGACAATGTGGCGCAGCCCCAGCCGTGACTGAGCTGAGTCGCCATTCTGGCTGTGACCATGATGTGGAGCTCCCCCAAATGGCGGTCTGTTGAAAAATGTGGAGCAACATCGTATTGCTGAAGTGCGGAAGGGTGTGATTACAGCATGCATTCTGAGTGCAATACAGCAGTTGATGATTTGCCAATTCCAAGGAACATTCTTGCCTGTATACACACCCATCATCGCCTACAGGGGCCTTGCTTTGTCTTTGAAGGTGCAATTGTAAGCAAAGGAACTTAGCCAATTTCAGATCTCAGCCTGTGCCACACTCTAAATTAACATTCCAACAGAACTTGGGCATGTGCTGCTTCATCATTCTCTTATTTTGCACCATTCACTTGGAAACATTGTATTCATGCTCATTGCAGCATACACTGAGCATGTTCGCGGTTACCAGGAGATGTATGGCTGAATGTGGCATAGATTGATTCAGGAACTATACTGCCAATGTGCTAGTCGCATATGCTATCATCCTCCAGATATGCCCTCCACATCTTTGAAGTGCAGATTCATAAGCATCGAGAGCCATCCCTTGTTGCAGTGGATTATCCATTTGCAGTGCCTTCATGACTTGGAGCTGCTCAACTGGCAGACCATCTTGTGACGATCTCAGTTTCCTTCTGTGCCTTTGCTTCCTCCTTCCTACCCCACTAGGAGTCCAATACCTGTGCCATGCACCTGGCACCTGTGTGCTTTCTGTTTGTCGATTTTCTTGAGTTCAGAATGTTACGTCACAATTACGAGTGTTACAATTGGATCAATCCGTTTTCGTATTCCTCGAAATGTCCATTTGGCATTATACATTGGGCCGTTGAAGGTTCCAATGCAGCACAGAATGTTGAGTACATTGTGGATTTGCTGACAAGGTTGCCGATCCGGTGGTGTCATTCTGCGAGACGGTCGTGGAGACATCATCCCTGAAGTGTTTTGCGGAGACCCCAAACAAACAGAACAAAATCACAATGATCTCAGAACCCCTGGAGAAGGACCTAGACAAAGACATCGAAACTGGCACCGTCATTATCGATTGGCCGCGCAAGAAGCTGGGAGATTTCTTCCAGAGGAAATATGACTGGGATCTGCTGGCCGCCCGGTCCATCTGGGCGTTTGGACCTGACAAGCAGGGCCCAAACATACTGTTGGATGATACGCTACCTTCAGAGGTTGACAAGGGTCTGCTGAATGCGGTGAAGGACAGCATCGTGCAGGTATCATCACCAAGACGAATTGTTGATTCTGAGCTGCATCGAGTTTGACTTGTTGTTCAATTGAGAAGCTGAAGAGTAACAGACATTTTGCCCATTGACAAAAATTCTTGCTCTTTGGTGACCATGACAAGGGTTTAGATGAAAAGCCGTTGACAGCTCCATGTCCTATTGGGAACGAGAGCAGAGGGCCCGAATAGCCAATAGAACTGATTCTTTGCCATCGCCTGTGGCGTTGGCAGCCATGAGACAATTGTGCCAGTGTTACTTAAGAAGTGGCGGCATGTTCTTCTCCATTGCCAAACTAACAACCGAATTCGCAGCATCACGGCTGTTGGGAGGTTCACGGATCTGGATGGCCTGTGTCGTCATGGTCCCCAGCGTTGGCATGTGAATCCTAATGCAATAGGTTGCGTCTGCTGGAATCATCTTGGAAAGTGAACCGAAATTTCAGACCTGCTGGTGTGAACAGGGCCTTTGAGTGTCTTCAGTTGTGCCATCCTTTGCCCATTCTATGTCACTGACCATTGTGTGCAATGCTGCTCGACCAGGGCTTCCAATGGGGAACACGTGAGGGGCCCCTGTGCGACGAACCCGTTCGCAACGTCAAATTCAAGATTCTGGATTCCATGATATCTTCAGAGCCACTGCATCGTGGCGGCGGTCAAATCATTCCCACCGCGCGGCGGGTGTGCTATTCGGCGTTTTTGATGGCCACTCCTCGCCTCATGGAGCCCGTGTACTATGTGGAGATTCAGACGCCGGCAGACTGCATTTCTGCAATATACAATGTGTTGGGCAAAAGGAGAGGCCACGTGACTGCAGATATACCCAAGCCAGGGACGCCCATCTTCCTTGTGAAGGCGTACCTTCCTGTCATCGAAAGTTTCGGTTTCGAGACGGATCTGCGGTATCACACGCAGGTAGCCTTGAATTGCACCATTGTGGCTTACCTGTGCACGCTTTGGACATTCTGGAGTCGGCGTTTGGTGGGAGCTGCAATGCTTTTGCGGGTTTGTGGGTGAAGAGATCCGCTTATAGATCCCCTCCTTTGCATTTTGTCTCCTTGTCATTGCCGTGCCATGGGGCGAGTACACACACTTCTGGGCTTAATGAATAGGGCAGCCCATGAGCTTACCAAGTGGTGATGGTGAATGTTGCAATTCATTTTGTCTTGTACGCCTGGCACCGAGGCAGCCTTGCCCCATGGACCATGTGCAATGGCAAATTTTGGGCAATTGTGGTCGGGGCATTGCACTGTTGCCATGCTCCCCTGCGCACAGATGAGAGCAGCGGAGAGCAGCCAGGCACTGCTCTGCTTTTTGTCGAAGCACAGTGCTGATGCAGCTTTGCTGAAAGGGCGATGGCCACTGCTTTCTGCCCCAATGAGCCCACCATGAGCCCAGCCCGTTCCTGTGCCTTGTTTCAGGGCCAGGCGTTTTGCCTGAGCGTCTTCGACCATTGGAGCATCGTGCCTGGCGATCCATTGGACAGGAGCGTCGTCCTGCGGCCCCTTGAGCCAGCTCCCATTCAGGCTCTGGCGAGAGAGTTCATGGTGAAGACGAGGAGGCGCAAGGGCATGAGCGAGGACGTGTCCATAAACAAATTCTTCGACGACCCCATGCTCTTGGAGCTGGCCAGGCAGGACGCTGACTTGCAGCAGATTTTGTGAGCATTCTAATGCACGGGCGTTGTATTTGGCAGGAAGGGGGTACGTGAGTGACGCAGTGAGTTTGCACCGACATGCACTCAAGAGTGATACATAGCGGGTTGCTTTAGGCCGCGAGATTATAGAGGGAAGCACAGACAGGGTTCTGCGATTGTATAGGCAAGCAATGCACACAGCAATGCACAGGCATATTTCTGACGGCAGTTTCTGGTGGAATAAGAATCTTTCTGAAGTTCTCAATGTTTCGCTCCACTCTGTGCCATGCTGCGTGTGGCTCGCCATTTCTGCCTGCCTTCCACGTGGTTGGTATAAAATCGGCCCCAAGACTCTGTGATTTACAGTACTCTTTGTTCTATATTTACCGCGGGATTTGGCCTGAGCAATCAATTCGGGGATTGTGGCCAAACGACGGGTGGCTATGCTGTCCAGTTGCATTTCTCAAAAAAACACATAGGGGTCGTCTGGGCTGGCCCAACCAATGTACCACATGTCTCGTACGCTGGACTTCACGAGTGAGTCTTCTTGCACAGGTGAGTCTATGTCTTCGCACTGAATGCTCATTCTTAGATTGTGCAGGTCCTGTACTGCAAAAACACGAGTAGGACGAAACCATATGTAAGGTCGGGATGAACAGCAGAGCCACACCAGGGTATGTGGCGAGCACGCGTGCACCGTCTTCCAATCGTCCCCTTGTTGCCAATAAAATGGGCACACTGATGGGCAGGAATCCATGCATGTATGTGTATGCTCACCGTCCTCCTCTCGGTCCATTCTCAGCCTGCGCTTAGAAGACGACGTTCTAAGCAGATTCCAGGGCAACGGCTCAAGGTGGTTTGTTGAAACACCATCCAAGTAGCGGTTTTCACCAAGGACCACAGCTCCAGGAAGACATTGAGCCAAGGCCACCTAATTCTTGTAAACTCACAGACAATATGCGAAGTGTTGCATTGGTTCCCGATACACTGCGCTTGGTGGATATGCATAGCGCCCAATTGTAGCACACTGATGCGGATTTCGCGCATACAATTCGTGGCCATTTCCTGGGCGCCACATGGGATCTCGGTGGCACAGGTTAGTATGAATAGTCAAAAACAACTCCGCACACAGCCACACTGAACTACCTCTGGCTCTGCAACCAGCCAGGCTGCTGACAGGATTGCTCAACGTGTTTTGCCACCACTTGTGACCCTGAAGTGGTTCAACCAGACGCCACATTGCGATGCCACGATTGCGCTTTCAAGCATTTACAATTGGCAGCAGAGATGTCAAGGTCCCCTGTCTCAGCGTTCCAACTGCGCCATTACAGCCAAGACACCTCGAAAGCGCCTGCACGCAGTCCCGCCAAATCCGTTTGCGTCCTCCCGATTGGGGTCCAAACTTGTCGCTTTGCTGGTCAGGACAAGTCCATCCAAGAACGTCGGCGCACACCAGTTGCCATGACAATGCAGGTGCAAGAGTTGGCAACGACGCCAGGGACGATTCTGGTACTTGAAAACACCGCAGTCGCAATTGCAAGTGCAAGCTTTGACAAGGGTGCAACAGCTCACAGCAATGTGCAGAAGACTGCGCTGGAGAAGCGGCGCTGCCTCGGTTGCTTTTGCAGCACACAAGATGCATGAAGGGACACTCTCTGGTGGTCAATCGATGACGTCTTGCGCCAGAGAGCCACACGCCCTCACGGTTGAAGACAGGGGCAGCAAATGGCAGCCAGCGTCTGAAATGTTATGCAACGGCAAAACACATCACTGCGAACAGCATGGATGCAATCACAAAATCAAAGGATTTTGCTGATCATGCAAGTCCCTCCACGCACGCTGGCAGGACCTCACTGCGAACTTCGTATCACATCCTTACCATCGTGCGCAGAATTTAATGAACACAAGAGTGGACAAAAGCAGTAAGGGAGCCTGTGATGTGATGAGCTACTGCTGCAGCTGCGTGCATCTGCCTCTGGGCCTGTACGGTGGTGTCGTAATCCTACGTTTCAGCCAGACAATTCAACAGAAGATACATGAGACCTGCAAGGTCGTCTGGATTCCTCGCACAAAGAGGATCCGGTGGACGGAAGGATTCTTGAAAGGCACTGAATCTTGTCAGACTCCATCTGCACCGAAACCCAAAGCCATACCAAAGACCTCAATACTGGTGTCTGTGGCTTGACAAGCACACTATGCTGGCCTGGGGTCCGGCCCCAATGGCAGGCTGGCTCAGGGCCCCTGCTGCCCTCCCAGGTACAAAGCAAACACTCAGAAGCCAAAGAGTGCACCCACATGTAACACAAGCACCCATTGTTGGTAACCACAGCCCTGCCCATTACAATGGCACAAAATCACATTACCACTCCAGGTTGCCTTCTCTCGATCTTTCTTTCAGCCAAAATTTTCGCAACTACTGTGCCGCTTTTGCCTCTCCTGTGTCTGCTTCTTTCATTTTCTCTGCTGTGCAAGCCCCCTGTGGGACTGTTCATATAGGCCCCGCAGGGCACAGGGAGAGACAATACACACACATACGCGGGGATCTGCCACCACTCACCGTGGCCTGTCTACTCAACGCCTTCGCCCAAACGCCAACTTCTCTGCAGCTGCAAGGGAAACAGACAGCAGAAAACGGGGAAAGAAAAAACGAAGGTGGAGCACAGACAGCCAGAAGACAAGCCTCACACTTCCATTGCAGCCAGCGCAACCTGCAACCACAACCCATAGATCTTCTGTCGACAACGACTCGGACCATGACAGCCCTGCAGATCTCAGCTATGCTCCCCACTTCCAGCTCCGTGCTTCGTCTGCTCTTAGGTCTTCCCTGCTTCGCAAGCCTTCCACAAACGACTGCCGCCACCATTACTCGTACTGCCCAGCAGCAAACTTCTCCTCCAGAAGGAAGGCTGCCACCACCGTCCTGCCCCCAAACTTCCGCCCATGCATCGCGTTCCTGGCCTTCACAGCTGCGTTCACGTCTGAAAACTCGATGATCACTTTCCCAACTCCGGGAGGCTGCATCTGTGCACCTGGGATTGGGCGTGGTATGACGATGTTTGTGCAGACTCCATACTTGCTGCACTCCTCCTGCATATCTTCGAGGATCTCCTTGTAGTCTTCGTCGCTCTGCAGCTCCTCCAAGGTGACTGCCTCGGCAAGGGACACCACCCTTGTAGCTCCAGAAAGGGAAGTGATGCTCGCAGTTTGAGCGACCTGAGATGTGTCTGGTCGCGGCTGGCCCTGTGGACATTGCCTGAATGTCAAAGCAGCTGCAGAAATGACAGCAGAGCTGGCATGAAGCTACTGGTGTGCCAGCAACGAGGTACACAAGGCAACCCCAAACACCTGCGAATTCATTAATTCGGCTGCTGCTCCCTTGAAATGCTATCTGCAATCCATGTGCCCAAAACATCTGACTGTGGGGGACTTGCTGTTGTATTTGCTGGCAACACATGACCTGGGATTCAGGCAACACTGCGCAATCCAACAGCCATTCCTCCAAGTAGAAAGGGACACAGCAATGATGCCAAACCAAGTGTGGCCCAAGGTCAGGGCTCTCAGCATAGAACTTCCTCCTATGCACTACTGTCATGCACAACTCACCTCAGCGAACTCACACATAGGTCAGGTGACTGACTACAAGCTTACTGTCCACACGAGATGTTAACAAAATGGATATGGTTCCTCAACATAAACAGATGTATGATGTCAGCAACACAATTTATCAATCCCTCTGAATGCAGTGCTGAGAAATGAATGCACCAGAGCACACGCACCAGAGTTCAGAGGAGCGCAAGGTGAAATACAACTAAGCTGGAGAATTCAATCGCATAACTTACCTGCATCGATCCAATATTCAGCTCAGCACATAGTCACTGACAACTGCTGAAGAAATACACGGTCACTCACAAACAGCCAGGCAAATGCCCTTCTCAATGTGACTATCAGGAACACAACTGTCCTTCCAGGTTCAGACCAAGTTTCCTGATAGGAAACATTCACTTGTCCATTTGGTGAATGTGCATAGCAATGTGTGTCACCTCTGTTGCCCTCCTCACAGTCAACACACGGTCACCCATCTTGAGCCCATTGAGACCTTGGCAGGCGATGTCTGTCACCGATGGGTCGGCGTACACCACAAAGCCATACCTGACAACAACGTGGTGGACATCAGAGTCACATTGATGGCAGGCACAGCACAAAATGGCATACAATAAATGAACAGGGCAGTAGTGGAAACAGAGTAGGGACAAGCGACCTTCCGTCCTATTGGATGGATACACAGAGCACAGATCTACCGCATCTGGACTCGAACAAGTTGCACGAGGTTAACAAAGTGTGCACATTGAAGGAATGGTGTTGTAAGTGCCCGGATTCTGTTGACGCACGTGCCGAAGGCAAGCAATGCTCAGAGACCCAGCCACTATAGTAGAGCAGCATACAAGATTGCGTGTACTACATTGTGTTGTGGTGCACATGTAGTTTTGTCAGCATCCAAGGGTGTGGCCTGCAGTGTGTTTGTTCAAACACAAGAAGCATTCCATAACTGCAGCTGGAGTCTGGAGGTTGCAGAAATAAGCAGAGCACTTGCCAGGTGGCACAGACCGCATTTGCTGCAGAGGCTATGAGGCACAAGAAGAAAGCCCCAACAACATGTTCCTTAATGCAACTACGGCCACAGGGTGTTTTGTAAATCAGCCAGACAATCATATTCTGCAAAGCCAAATAGATGTACAAACATCTGGCTGATACGCATCAGACTTTCTAGCCAGCGTGATTCTGGTGAACGCACCCTTCTGAACTCGGGGTTTGCCGCCACAACAAAGTCAGTCTTCCACTTGGCTTGTACACAACCATACCGCTGTACATGACAAGTTACCTCCTGACTCAGTGCATGAATGCTGCAGGGCAGGTTTTGGGCACAACTGTTCCTTGCAACTCATAAAACATTGCTCCAAATTGTGTCCATAACAATGCAACACACCAGGAGACCTCACCCCTTGGAATTCCCTGTCTCCCTGTCTTTGACCAAGTCGAAGGATTTGATGGCACCAAAAGTCCCAAGAAGCTCCCTGCAATTCTCCTCCGTTAGATAATAGGGCAGGCCTCCCACAAAGACACGTTCATGGGCATCTGTGATGCTCGCACCACCAGGCTGCAGGCCGATGGCAGCCAGATTCAGGTTTGGATTGGGTACACTCGGCCCAAGGGCCGCCGCTGCTGCTGGGTTGTAGTCATTGGGTCGCCGTACGCGAACACTGACGCCCTCGAACATGATCCCGTCCAAGGCCATTGCGTTTGAGGTTTCCTCCACTGCAAGACAGCCAGGAAAGGGGGCAAAGGTCAGCTGGTGCAGGGCCACACATACATGACCTGTGGACAATTTGATATGTTTGACATGGGGGTATCTTTGCTACATTTTTAAGACCTGGCTTGCTGGGTACTGAGGACAAACATCATTTGCATGGCCTTTACTTCTCCAACGGGCCTGAATGATGCTTGTACCAACTGAACACAAACAAACCTGTGCACCTGTCACAGCACAATATCACTTGGAAGATGTGCTGCAGTCGATCACAGCACGTGGACACACACAACACTGACCAGCATCATGTCTCCGGTATGGTAAATACTAAAGCTCCACAAACAACTGAACCTTGAATCTACAATTCCATCAGAAGGTGCCAGCACCTTCAGGATGTAACCCAAAAGCATGTGGGAAGGGAAGAGACCAATCACAGCAACTGAGATGAGTGCATGCAGTTCAAATGGACAAGCCTGTGCATCCTGACACAATGCGAAGGAAGAGCAAATAAAAATGTTGGAACGACTGTCCTGTCAGGAATGTACCAAAACGTGTTCCACACTGAAATATATCTCAAATGTATCCAGGTTCAAAGCATGGGTGTGGGAAATAGCGGGTACAGGTGTGTCGGGCACCACCAATGCACTCGCAGAGCAAATCAGCCGAGGTGGTAGCCCAGCATGGGCACCATCCACACTCCAAGATCGTGGCACGACCACTGCAGTACAGTAAAGCTGAATTAACAACAGATGCATAGGGGGCCTAGATAGTGAGATTGGCACAAGGGATGGGCCACACCTGTCCTGAATTCCACAAAAGCAAAGTTCTTCTCGCGGTTAATGTACACATTCACCACCGCATTTCCTGCACAGCAAAGTTCACAGAGGGAGCTGTCACATCTCAAAAGAATGGAACAAACTCTGAGAAGCCAACTGTTAGCAAACACGCATCACACCGCCATTCCCTTTTTACATTGCCAAACGATAGCATAGGGAATTGGTGTCAACTGTTCTTGATTTTAATGGGGGCTGCTCACATCCTGTTCGCTCTTCGATAAGTGGACAATGCAGACTGACAGTCTCCAATGCATTTCCCACGCAGACAGGGTATCTTCAGTGCCCGTCAGCCACATTGGTGTGCTACAGACCCTCTGTTCTTGGCCATATTCTACTCTGACAGTGACATTCAATTCGCTCCACCTCCCCAAAGCAGGGAAAACTGCCACCGGAATGAAATACAGGTGGAAGAATAGTAACAGCGCAAACAAAGGCAATTTGACACATGGGTAGATGCAAAGCCAAGCCCAGCAATGTGAACAACACCAAAACTTTACTCGACCACTCAGCATGACAATCTTGGTGTTGATCGCAAGGGAGACACTGTTTAAAGGCAACCAAACAGATGAGATCGACAAAATGGTCCACAACACACTGTTGTCTGATTGACGCACCACAGTAAGAAGCTGCTGGTGTCTAAAACTGATCCACAGTTGGGAAAAGCTGTCAACCCACCAAAAAAAAACGCTTCGTACAAGAATGAGCAGCTATCTACCAACACTTTATTTTCCACATTCCTAAGGCAATCTTTTCCTGCTGGATGCCTCGACGATGGTACACTGCCAGCTGCCATTATGCTCCACATTGCAAAGCACATCATCAGACCGTCCTGATGGCCTTCCCCTACCAGCCACACCTGGGCCTGATGAAGTACCACCCACAGCTGCCAGTGCATGGCTGAAGAATGTTGCGATTGACTGCTCATTGGCTGTGGGTGGGAGGCCACCCACATAGACACGCCGTGCATGCCTCGTTGCCTGTTGTGATGGCGGCTGGATCATTGCAGTATTGGGAACAGCGCCTGCAACAGAATGAGATGACAATTTGGGCTCAAGACTTGACAAACGGACCAGGGGCACCGGAAATCATAGTCCTGGAGGGATGAAGGTGGCCAATAAGTTCATGAATGTGGCAACATGTAGCCAGCGGCAATAGTGTAAAACATGGCTGGCCCATTGGCAGCCTTCTCCTTGCACAATTCCCAGCGATGTCTTCGTTGCAAAGACCAGCAGAGGCTTGGCTGCGCTGCAGCGGTCAAGTGCTGAGATTGACGATGCGATGATCCAACCAGCAACAGCTGAGGGGAGCGGGCACAGCCCAAACCTGGTGCAAGGAGGACTGCTACAGATATGACAATGGCAGGCAGCAAAATGACACATGAACTCGACCACTGCTGAGACCCCGCAGTGAGGATGCTATCTGGACCGCCCCAGATAAAACACAAACCGCTCAACCCACATCTCAATCGCAAATGGGCCAGAGCTGTTGCAGAAAACCAGAAAATCCTGTGAGGTTTACAGGGAGAGCCATACTGCCCGGGTCACTCAGGATAGTTCTTCACATGCACAAGATGGCTCAGGTGGGCAATACTGGTCCGCCAGCAGGGGCAGATTCAAACCTGCAGAAACATTTGGAGATTCACCGGCAAAGCCGCAGACACAGCACCTCCCAGCAGTGTTGCCACGCCATCCAATCAGATCAACACCAACAACCAGAACACCCCACAGCCGTTGCCGGCCTCCACCCCCACGCCCCCTTCCCTTCGGTGCGGGGCCACGCGAAGGCACCCACCTGGCAGCACGCCGCCGAAGCTGGTCCCGCCCAGCGGGACCACCGCCGTCGGCACCATCGGCATGGCGGCCGCCGCCTGCGGCGCGCCTGCCCCTGCCGCCGGGAACCCCTGGGGCAGCTGGGAGCCGGCCGGTGGCGGCACGTCGAACAGCGTCTTCCTCTTGCGCCTGGGCGGCGTCCGCGACCGCGAGGACCTCCCCCTGGACCGCGACCTGGACCGAGACCTGGACCGGTGCCTGGCCCTGTGCCTGTCCCTGTGCTCCCTGTCCCTGTCCCTGTCCCCCCGCCGGTCGTTGTCCCCGCGATCCCGCTCCCCCCTGCCGCCCCTCTCCCTCTCCACGTCCGCGTCCCTGCCGCCGTACCGCCGATCGCGATCCCGGTCCCTATCCCTGTCGCCCCTGTCGCGCTCCCGGTTGCCCCGGTCGCTGCGGTCGCGGTACCTGTCGCCACGATCCCGCTCCGAGCGGTCCCTTCCATGCCTGCGCCGCAGCGGGTACGCACGATGGGGTCAGGAACCGGCGGGATGGCTCAAGGCCGCCGAAACGGTGGGCGACGCGGCGCGGCGCACAGGCCAGCGAATGCGCACCCCGCCAACATTGCCTCGCGGATCTCTGACAGCGCAAGACGCCCTTGGATCAAGGAAGCCAGCCGCTACCAGTCCGCCTAGGGCCGGGAGTGCAGCTGCACGGCATGCTCCCTCTCTGGAAACAAATGGGCCCCCCGCCCACACCCAAATATGGGCCAGCCACCCGAAGCCCCGCACCAAAAAGTCTCACCTGTCGCTGGGAGGCGGCCTGTCGTCATCCCTCATCATGGCCCGCCCCTGCGCCGCAAGCAGCCCGCACATGCCGAGTCGCATCAACACATGCGCCGCGAACTCCCGACGGGGGCGGCGGGCAGGAGGGCACGGCCAGGGCGCCAGGAGGCAGAATTCCCGGCGACCAATTCAGCAACTCACCTGGTCGGGGTTGGGTGGGTAATCGTACCGCACGCCCCCGTTGCCTTCGTCCACCATCGCGGCGGCGCAAGTGGCCGCTGCGCACAACCGCTCGCGATGGAGTCTGCCAGCCGCTGTCGCCTGCCGGTGAGCGGAGGGGAGGCGGGCCGAACAGGGTGGGAAGTAAGGTGTGGCGGGGACTGCTGCAGGTGCGGTTTGTGCCTATCACCAGCAAAATGCGTGCGATGGGTACCCCGCGCGAATTCCTTGGCGTCACCGCGTCACGGTGAAGCCCATCGCCAACGATACGGCCATCGGCAAGTGCAACCTGTAACCATGCCCGGCATCATCCACTAAGAGCATCTTTACCGGTAGTTGCTATAGTCCCGGCGGTGCTGTTTGGCTATTCGAATAGCACCTCGCAAGTCAAAAAAACACGGTTGGCGAGCAATAGCACCCCAGAAGCACCGACGATGCTATTTGGCACCGAGCGGTGTCATTCTGGGCCCGAATAGCACCGCTTGAGGCCAAATAGCACCCCGGAATAGCACCCAGTGTTATTCGCACAGAACTTTGTGGTGCTGCTGTGACGCTATTCGGCACAGGAACAGGACCCACCATTGCGGATGCGCGCAGGGAAGCAATAGCACCGGTGCTATTCGGCCAATGCCGTCACAGTAAGGTGGCACGGCAGCCAATGAAGACCGTTTCTGGATAGCTCCGCCGGTGCAACAACACCGAGCGATAAAGATGCTCTAAACGGCGGCATGATCATCAAAGTTAACGCAAATGGAAGCCAACACAATTGGGCTATGACTTTGACGACGGTTGCCTCCTATAGTACTTACATGTCTTCCCCTTCAGTACGTGCTCTCACCCGGTATCTGGCCGAAATAAGTCCCTGCAAAACCCTATCAAAACCCGGTCAAAAACAGCCGGGTAACGCCCATGTCGCCCTAACCGGTACTCCAGTTATGCACCTCAGTAAGACATCAAGTGTTGGCAGCTCTGCCGCCCCCAAGTCATGGCAAATGGTAGCAAAGCCGCTTGCTAAGGGAGGTGGCGCCACGCCCACCTCACAGCAAAGCAATTGACGCTCGCCACAATAACTGACCCACGATCACTTCGTAATGCGCATTTCCCGTTCAACAGCTCTGACGCCCCATCATGACTGGCATCCACAACGGCCATCGAAGCACATCGATTCTAGCACTCAATCCCATGGACTCTTAGTGAGAGTCACACGCATCACAAAGCGACCCTGAGAAGCCGATCCACAAGGCAACGTGGGGTTTGTGATCACTTGCCGTGTCGTCGCCTCCACACGCCCATCATCGCATAGTCACACTGGCAGGAATGAATGTATTATATGCCCCAAGGACTTCAGTCATCGGCCTCTGCCCGGCTGGGGTGGACAAAGCCGTATTTGTGCCTGTCGGACACCATATGCCGCGCCCGCCTCTCACCACGATCTCACGTGTACACTCACAACGAATGCCCCTCTGTCATTCCCCCATCACTTACACCCCGCGTCACTTTGCATCGCTCCCCACGGTTCGCTCCCGCGGTCCATGCTATCGGCCCATCAAACTTGGGGCAAAAACCAGCCTTACATAATGATAGAAAATGACGCCATCACAGGCCACGTCCCATGCCGCCTTGGGGCAGACGGCAGCTCCTTCATTCGGTGACCAAAACACAAAAGTGGCCAACAAATATTGGTCACTTTGTGGGGAAACAAACAACCCGCAAAAATGCGGGCAGATCGCACAGTTTGAACTGGGCATTTGGTGCAATTTCTACCAATTTTTGAAGTAGTGATTCTTGCGTGAAACTATCTATGGCCTGAATGTCATAAGATGGGTTGGTCTCATTAGCTTTTGAAAGTATTGGAATGAAAAAGTCAAAATAGTGGCGGGGTGTGCTTTGCGCAGCGATCGTGCCCCACCAAACAATATGAGTATAAGTGTGCGTCAGATAGCAAAACCTGTTCAGCGTTGTTGTGATTTTCTATCCAACAATGAGCTCAAGTTGCCGAAAGTCTCAATTTGTTGTGAAGAAACTAGGAGATGGGATTCCAGCGCCAGTCTAGGGAAATTCTTGGCAATACAAACGCTACAATCGAATCCTAACATTGTCTTCCTCTTTTGTGCATGAAAGCTAACTCTTGTCAGTAGTCATGCATTATGACTCTGATCCCGGGCTTAGGATCATTGCAATCAACCAAGTTTGTTTCGCATATTTTATTACAGTCAGTTGGGTAGGAGCTCCTACCCTCTTGACCCCGGACACCCTTGGCCGGGGACCTGATGTGTGTAGTGCGGGTCATTAGCTTGGTGCATGTCTGGTTTAGGAACGGGCTGGACCGGACTGGTACAGTCGGTCCGGCTGCCGCACCCAAACTTGGTACGGGTACACACACCACTTGGTTTGCTTGTTTGTTTGCTTTTTGTTTGTTTCTTCCTTACATGGATGCATCGACGCGATGTCACGGCATCGATCAGTGTAGGTACCAATCCAGTGTGCGAGGGGCACGTCTAGGCCCAACTATGTAATCAAAAAGCACGCCTCTCATGTACCGTACCACTTTGTCTTATACTATACCTAATTAAGTACAATATTAAATAGATAACAAGGACATTACTGGTTAGGTGCAATGAAGACTGGTTTAGCAATTTTAGGAGTACCAAATTTTAGGAATGTTGATGACAATATTTAGGTTCGAACCTAAGTATTGAGTACCAAATTGAATTCAGGTTTAGGTTGTTCAATGAGATACGTTTGCTATGCACAAGTGCATGGCGTTGTACAATGGCTGGGTGAATTGAGATAATGCACAGGAAATAATAATAGAACACCTATATCACGATGAGGGATTCATGGGAGGGCAAGTGCACAGTGATAACACATCATATATGGGTTGTGAGGGAGCCACAGCCATTGGCAGCACATGGATCAGGATTGATAAAGGGGAATTAGTTGCGGGCTGGCCTGAAATTATGAGAGGCGCTATAGAAATACCAAGCCAAGCCAAAACAGTTGGACGCCACTAAGGATAAAAGATGAAAAGAGATGTAAGGAGCAACACACTTTTGGTGGTTGCAACTGTGGTGCTACTTTGGCAGGACAACACTCAAATTCGGATGTGGGGATTTGAATGCAATCAACAAGTTGTAATTCTGACAGGTCATGCCATAAAATAGGTGGTCCAGCCCTTCATTGTAATCGAATTTCCTTGTTGTTAGGTGTTCACGGGTCGTTCCTGCGGGTGGCGAGCCAACGGATGAGGGACGGAAATACGTTCTTGAATGAATGTATACACGTCAGCCGACACCTACGAGGTGCAAGGTACTGCTCTATCTTATTAAAGGCAATTCTAGAGGACTGCAGTGGGTCATGCTTCAGCAGGTCATGCTTAAATACGGAGTGGTCGCTGATGTCCTGTCACAGCAGGGAACTATGAGGTGGTGACAGGTCAAACCTTTCAAGTGATTTGACTTGACAGATATAGTGCCAAAAATGTTAAGATACTTTGTCTCGACGCGCATCACAGACAGCCACGACGATAGTATTCTCTGGCAATAGACGTTGGCCGCTGCGAAGCAATTGAACGCCCGGTACCCCCCATGTGACAAACTGGTCCACGTTGGCCATCAGCCGTGGCGCCAGCCACTGCTGGCCATGTACCCATGGAGGAGGCAGTCCTATGCATGGCTTGGTGGCCACCGTCGGCATGGCAGGTTCCAACTCGGTGGAAAAATGAGTCCAGAAGCAAGACTCGTGGGGCTCAAGATGCAATCACGCCACGGGAATCAGCGATCCTCACCACCAGCGACGCACAGTCTTTGCAATTTCACCACAAACGGTCCACATGAGTAATACTGCGCGAGGACGCTTCACAATCATCCAGAATGGTGCTTAATGGCCCAGAGTGGATCACAATAGTCCAGATGAATCACAATGATTCATGATGCAGTAACACTGCGTGTTCGGCAGAAATCGAGTGTGCGACTGAGCGCTGCCACACCAGGCAAACTGAACAACGCACAGCACTTCATCGGCTCACAAGATAGTGGCTGTGCTCGAACAGCCCTGGCACAACACGTTATTCCTTCCCAGCCACACATCTGTGTACAAGCGGGTTCCAAACTCAACGTTCCGATGGGTCCGTGCAAAAGTACAGCAATTCACGAAAGCTGTTCTCCCTGGTATTTGGAATGTAATACAGGATGTGAAGGCGCTTTAAGGGGACCCCTACCCTGACTAGCGCAGAGGTCGCGCATCAAATGCGCAAGTTTGGATGCAGGATCAGCCACCAACAAGCCCAAGTCACGACACTGACCAGGGCGTGGCCACCCACAATCCTCCATTTCAATTTGGGCCATTCCCGCCCGTGGCTACCCCCCGTATCCACGGAAGCCTTTCTGAACTCAAATCTGAAACTGTACTCCAAGAGCCACAGCAAGTAGGTCGGAATGTAGAACCCCACCACTGCGTAGATCATGGCGATCAAATGGCAGCAGCAAGCACGCACCGGGGGAGTGGGCTGGCTCGCGCCAGATCCCACGCGCACCGCGTCGTCCACCGCCCGCCACGTGGCCATAATGTACTGGGACGTCCGGCCACTTTGCGAAGCCGCCTGGCAGGCGTGCGATGGCACGCACGAGGCCAGGCCCGCAACCAACAGAAACTGCATTGGCAGCTCGTGCTTGGCCAGCAGGGGCATGGCCAGGCTGCCGGCGGCCACCGCCAGCGCGCCCGTGCCCACGCCCAGCCAGCGCCACGCCCACCACCGTGTCGCCGCCTCCCCTGCGCCCCACGCCGGGCGCAGCAGAATCGTGGCGATCGGCCCCAGGATCGCTCGCTTCATCACGGTCAGCTCCGTGCGCATCACGGACGTCGACTCCACGCCCCATTCCTGCCAGCACGCGTCGATGAAGATGACCAAGCCGCTGAGCAGGGCGGCCAACAGCCCATTCCAGATTCCCTCGCCGGCCACCAGCAGGGCCAGGGAGTACAGGGGGAGAGCGACGAGCCTCAGGCGGCGCAGGAAGCGGTCGGGGCAGTTCAGCACGCCGGCGGTGTACGCCTCCCCGAACCGCGCCTCATCGTCGCCATTGGCGAACCACAGGCCGGTGAAGGGCAGCATTGCGCCGGCGGAGGGGAGCAATGCCGGCGTCTTATGGCACCCTCGGCGGAGAGATTAACCGATCGGATGCTCCAGATGGGGCCCACCCCCGCCGGCCGGCAGCCCCAGCGCCTCCGCCGCCGCTTTTCCACCGCGCCCGAGCTTTGAGCCGGTGGTCGCCAAAGGCATGGGGTCCCCCCCATACGACAATATGCCCCAAAGGCGGGTGCTCGCGCCCTGATCCGCCGGCTCAAGGTACGTGGGGGCTGTGACATCTTCTTGGAAGCGCCCCCAACGGGTTCGACGATTCAGGTGGGGGAGCCCCGCCCGTACTACACACCCCCCAACGAGGTGTCACACCCAACATCATCGTGCACGGCATGTCCGGCAGGTCCGGCGTGCGCCCGTTCGTTGTACAACGTGGACCACATGTGGACGAACACAGTTCCACGTCCTCGCCGTGACAAATTTGTTTAAACATGACAATTCCGGCTATGACAAAATTGAACTGAATTCAACAATTCATCAATTCATTGGGCGCAAAAAATGCTCTAAATCATAAATTCCTGGACAGTAAGCAATCGTTCGGATAGCAATCGTGTGTGTGGTAGCGCCATGGCCCATCATTGTGAATGCTGCGGCTGCAGCAGTACATGGCTGTGAGGTGCGCACGCCACACCGTCGCACTCTATGATGTTGCGCGACGTGTGCAAAAGCGACACATTGTGAAGAGCGATTGCAGGGCAGTACAGATGCACTACCGAATGAACAGACCTCGCAGCGGGTGTGGATGCCCCGTCCAGGGATGACGTGCGAGGGACATCGGTACCGGGGGCGCCTTCTTGACAACAGGAGCAGCCAGCTCCATCAGCATCCGCTCTCAGGTCCATGCGTTCGCTGCTGCAGCCGCTGCACAAAGGAAGCAACGAATTAACTGTCGAAACCCCCTCCACATGGGCGTATATCTATGCATGCCTGCAACACGGTAGCGTAGGCTGCTATGTGCAGGCCTGCACATTTGGCTTTGTGTAATCTGCACTTGCATACGTGTCGCGAACAATGACATGATAGTTGGAGCCTTGTTCGAGAACAGCTGGAGCCATGCACAGCGATCTGTGGGCCCGGCGACCAACTTTTTGCCAGGCTTGGCTTTTGCGCCATGAAAAACTGATCGCAGTTACGTTTTTATGCATAAGAACAGTTTCTACGTTTTTACGCATTAAAATGCGTAAAAATACGTAAATACAACGTAAAAACTGCCCGGTGTACATAAGGACAGTACATGCAGACTTGCGGAGTCCGGAGACTGGCAGCCAGACGCCCTGGAAGGGGCAGAAAACGAGCTGTTGTTAAACGACATCAGCACCCTTGTCAAAAGCGAGGTGGACATTGTGCTGCAGGTGCTGGAGATGGCGGAGGACTGATCATTATAAGCAACTTTCATCGTGTAACCTGGGTGTCCCGGGGAGCCGCAAAAACGTAAAAATAGAGTTAAAAATAGGGGCTCTCGCAAATTTACGTTTTTATGCTTAAAAACGTAAAAGCGAAAATGTAAACGTAAATGTAAAAGCCAAGCCTGGTTTTTGCAATTGTAAGCAGTGGCGATGCGTACTTTATATTTTTGAATTCATTCCATGGTCCAATTGTTGTTTGAATTGAGGTCTATGTCCCAACTCACAATGGAATAAAGCACCTTTTCCTTTGCCCCTATAGGAAGCCTGGGGGGTAACGTTCTCCTCCACCAATTCCCACCAAGCTGAATCAAACACAGCCCTGCAGACGCAAGTCCGCACTTTCCCAAAAGTGCGATATTTTGTTTATTTACAAGCCGCAGCCTTTGCTTGACTCCTCTCGAGTCCTTGGAAGGAAAATGTTGGAACTGAGACTCCTGTGCGCCCCTCTGATAAGGCTTGGTTTTTACGCCGTAAAAACTGATCGTATTTATGTTTTTATGCGTAAAAACAGTTTTTACGTTTTTACGCGTAAAAATGTGTAAAAATACGTAAATACAACGTAAAAGCTGCCCGGTGTACATAAGGACAGTACATGCAGACTTGCGGAGTCCGGAGAATGGCAGCCAGACGCCCTGGAAGCGGCAGAAAACGAGTTTTTGTTGAACCCCATCATCGCTCTTGCCAAGGGCGATGTAGACATTGTGCTGCGGGTGCTGGAGATGGTGGAGCACTGATCAGTGTACGTAACTTTCATCGTGCAGCCTAGGTGTCACACTGTGACACACCTGCGGCTATTTTTACGTTTTACGGGTCCTTGGCAAGGACCCGTAAAACGTAAAAATAGCCGCAAAAATAGGCGCTTTTGCAAATTTACGTTTTTACGCGTGAATACGTAAAAGCAAAAACGTAAACGTAAACGTAAACACCAAGCCTGCCTCTGATTGATTGAAATCACGCTTATGATAAGATTGTCGCTGAAAAGCGGAGAATGGCAAGCCAAAATGTGTGTCTACTGATTTCAAGAAGAAGCATAGTTTGGCGCTGAGTTCCTGCATTTCAGTGTGGTGAACACGTATCAAGTCTTCTTTCATCCCTAACAGTACACTTCATGAATTATTTTAAGACCATGGAAAGCGCTTTTTGCGCATCTTCCGTCATAAACTCATGACTGAAGATTCAATATGTCGCTATTGCGTATTACACAATCTTGTGTTATACGAACTTTCATAAAATTTGAATCGTAGGCAGTCACATCCGGAAATTTGTTGGGCGTTGACGCAATATTGATAGGCGCCTCCACCAACGCCGGTCTTCAGAGCAGGTGTATGTAGAGCGGCGTTGAACAATGTTGAATCAAGTGTCCTGCAGCAACATTGCATCAATGCCAGGATTGGCGGAGTGTTGCCATCAGCGGCTATTGGCAGGGGTTTGCTGCAATGTTGCAGCAATACGCCATGATAGCGCCATTGCAGCAGGGCGCTTTCTTGGCGTACACCATCAATGGCAAGCTTTACAGTGTGGGCGGCTGGGGTGTGGTGGGGGGTGGGGTGTATAGGCTCGTGGGGTAGGCTGGCGGCGGCGGATCGTTCGCATTCAAGCTTGCAAGTGGTTGTGGAGTAGTTCATGTATGCATGTTCACGTGAAGGTTGTTTCAGGGTTGGAGGTCACAGCTGGCTTTGTGTGTGGGTAGGTAGAGAATGTCACCGTTTTCGCTCAGGCTGCAAGGCGAGCGCCAGGGCATGCAAACCACAACAAAATCAGCAGCCGCCACACAAGTATTCTGTCGCTTGCAACTAGGCTTGGTTTTTGCGTTTACATTACGTTTTTTACTTTTAAGTTTTTATGCGTAAAAACGCAAATTTGCAAAAGGACCTATTTCTACAGCTATTTTTACGTTTTTACAGCTCCCTGGCACACGTAGGTTACACGATGAAAGTTGCGTACAATGATCAATCCTCCGCCATCTCCAGCACCCGCAACACAATGTCCCACCTCGCCTTTGGCAAGGGCGATAATGGCGTTTAACAATTTTTTTTTGCCTCTTCCAAAACGTCTGGCAGCCACTTTCCGGACTCTACAAATCTGTATGTACTGTTCTTATGCACACGAGGCAGTTGTTATGTTGTATTTACGTATTTTTACGCATTTTTACACGTAAAAACGTAAAAACTATTTTCACGCATAAAAACATAAATACGATCAGCTTTTACGGCATAAAAACCAAGCCTGCCTACAACACAACTGTGCACACACCTAGTGCCCTTGCAATGCAGCACACATGATTAGTCGCTCGTGGTCCTTGCTCGCGGGTTGTGCAACGCACCTTGCATGCACGCCCAGCCAAGACACGCCATGATCATGACATTTGGCCACATCCCACAAATTTCGACCTGAAGATGCCGCTGCTGGGTAGATGGCAAGGGCAGGCAAGGGCGCCGCCGTTGCACCCCACTTTACATGACACGGCCGTCTGCACATGACGCGCCCCTCCCCCCACGACCAGCACTACACCACCCAGCCACTGCTACTCGCGGGTCACAGCGGCTCAGGAACAATGTGCCTGGAGATCTCAATCATGGCCCTCAAAAATGGTTGCACATTTCCCTAATGACAAATCTGAAGGCAAGGCACCGCCCACAAGGCTGGCATTTCGCACAAGTCGTTGGTGCCTCCAGTGGCCAGTGCCAGCTATTGCATAGCGGCATTCAGCACAGCGACACAAACGCTATACCCCTTCCCGCGTGGGCTGTTATGGGTCAGCGCTTGAGTTTGAACAGGGTGAATCCTCTAGCGATCTCAACGTTGGCCATCAAATTCACTGTTGGCGAACAATGCCAATGGCAAACCTGGTGCAATGTTGCTTTGAGAGCAGGTTTGCAAACTCTTTTAAAGAGTTCATTAAATTAGTGAGGGCCAGGTCACTTTGATGTTGTACAAGGTTGACAACATTGAGCCAGCTCAATGTTGATTTGATACCAAGGTCGGTGCGCCTACCCAATTGCATAGATGCAGGAAGCCAGCCCCTAAAACTAGCGAGAGGCGCCCCCACACCCAATAGGAGCTGCGATACCAGGCCATGACGTTGGGAGGCACCCAACAAACAATAGAAGGGGTGCTTAAAATGCAGACACACCATGGCATGGTTTTCGGTCAGATGCGGGCAATGGCACCTGCCGAGGCACCCAATGAGGTCCGCGGGGCCTCCTCTGCCAGATCGCCAGCGGGCTAGAGGTGGCCACTCAAAGGTGCCATCCGGTCGGGTAAATCCGGTTCGTTAATTTTTATCAGTTGTCCGTTAAATTTCGTTAAAGAAAAATCGAGAAAAAATCAGAAAAAACGGAAAAATCCAAAAAAATCGAAATAAAACCCCAAAAATCACAACAACTGCAGCTAGTTGAAAATCTAGTATGCATAGGTTGAAATAAAATACAAACGTACTCTCTAATAGCGAATTCCATAAACTATAAATATGACTAAAACCCAAAAATCCCCAAAAGATCCAAAAATCCGCTAATTTTTGGTTAATTTTTGTCTTTTTTCGTTATTTTTATTAATTAACGGAAAATT